TGGGACCAGGCGCGAGCGAACAGCGCAAGCCGCCCCCCCCCCATCACCCCGTCAAAGGGGCAAACCGCGAAAGGGCCGGCGACCCTTACGAGACCCAGAACCCCGCACAGCGCGAACACCGCGCCGACCAGACGAGGGAGGGTCCGCAGGAGGAGCCAACCCCAAACCTGACACCAGAGGCCTACCACGACGAGAGGAACCCCGAGCCCTGGCACGACCTTTCCGGGAAGACCCACCCCGGGACCCCCGGAAAACCAACAAGTCCGACATCGGACGACAAGCCGCCGACGCAGCCTGAATAAACTGCGCCACGGCCGACTCCCCAAACAGGAGAGGACAAAAAGGTGAAGAACGCCTAAGAGCCAGAGCCCAAGCAGATTCCACGGAGGAACCCAGCACCGCCTGCCGACACGCGAGACGGGAAGCATAGAACAGGGAAACCGCATCCCGCAAAATCGGCGTGAACAGCTTCAACAAGGCAGCCGACGAACGCGCAGCCGAGGACAAGGTGCCGGACCCCGGGACGGACCCAAGCGACCCCACATCCTCCACGAGCCAATCCGAAGACAGCTCCAGGAGGGAAAAGAACTGCAAGGCCGAACACAAAAGGCCCCGAGCGCGCAAGTCCTCCGCCACGAGCGCCGCCGAAAGGGAGGGAACCTGCACATGGAGCTGAATAACGCCCACATCGCGGGGAAGGGCAGGGGCAAACAAGCACTCATTCAGGTACTCAAGATCACCCCCCAGGAAAACCTGAAGCACCGTGGAAGCTTCCCGCCACTCCAGCGTGCGGGAACGACAGAAGGAATGCCAGGAATCCAGACCAAACAAGGGGCAGTCTGCTAGCCAGGACGACTCCGGAACCTCGTAACGGAGCCAGAAAGGGAACGAAGTCCCAAACCTGAACGTGGACGGATCCATTTCCGAGGCATAATCCGGGTCACGCAGGAGGTAAGCTGCAAAGGCCGCTCGCACCACACCAGGTTGGATGCGATACGCCGAAAACCTCCGGAAGGACGGAACCGACGTACCCGGAGGAACACGGAACCGTACCCGGGGAGAGGCCGATACCAAATCCAACTCATACGCAGAGGGGGGGAAAGAAAACCCCACTCCTTGTAACAATAAGCCCCGCTCAGTGGGAAGAAAAACCCAGGCGGGGTCCAGCGGGGCCCAAGGCCCCCAAGTCAGCCCCTCCCCAGCCTCGAGGTCCGTCACCACAGGACCCGAGGCCGAGTCCTCTCCCCAAGCCCCGACCCCACAAGACAAGGACGGAGCAGCCGGAAAAGCTGGAGGAAGGGGGGCCCACTGGTCAGACCCTGAAGCTTCGGCCGGAAGACAAGACTCGAATGCCTCTGCCGCCCCCCCGGAAGGGGCAACCCCCGAAGCTGCCCGAGTCTCGAGATCAAGTAACCCCTGCTCCGACCCCGAAACCCTCAGACGCTTCGGGGCCGGAAGCAGGGGCGGGGGACCAGAACGAACAGAAGGGGAAGGACGAGGAGGTGCGGACTGAACCAGGATCGAAGCGACCCCCACCCCCAAGTCCGGGTCTCGAAAAGCAAAGCGGGGCAGCCCCGGGGCATCCGGGGAAGCAACCAACCGAGCACGTTGCAACAGACGAAACCTAGACTGCAACGCCCGTGCCGCCTGTACCCGAATAGAATCATCAGAGGATTGGGTAAATTGAGTCACAAGCAAGCAGCAACACTCACAGGACTCAGGGTTGAAAGTATCACCGACCCAACAGGCAGCGTGGCAGAGGCAAAAACAATGAGGGTCACCCTGAGACAAGGGGACCGAGCAACCCTCAAACTCGCACACAGCGAGTGGGGACTCCGGGGTCACATCCATCGGACCCACGCGCCCCCTAGGGGATTCCCAGGGTCCTGAGCGTTTACTTTAAGAGGACTCGCGCTCAGGTAGTCCCAGGCAGGGTGCCGCAAACCGGCGCCCAAAACTACCAAGCAAACTTCTAAAGCTGAACCCCAGGGACGTGTACACTCACGGGGACCTAGCAGGGGGCGCCACCGAGGAGAACAGTGGAAGGGCAAACAAACTGAATAAAATGACAGAACCCCCCACCAGGCAAAAACAAAAAGAAAAACAAAACCCCGCAAGAGGACAGCGAACCCCAAGGAACAGAGCCAGCCGCGATGTCGGGAAATACAAGCTGAGCAGCACCCTGCGCCCCTACCAGTGCAAACTGCCTCTTACCTGCCGGTAACAAGGGAGAACAGAACACCCAAGAGCCCAACAGGCGGCCGAAAAACCGAAAGGTAAAACGGACCAGCAGAGGCAGACCCCGAGGAGCCTGTGGAAGGTGGCCCCAAGCCCCAAGGGCAGTACTTACAGGGCACCTAGGGAAGGCAGCCCTAGGCGCATGCAGCCCGAGTACTGAAGATAACTCCTGGCTCTCGCACCCACAAAACTAACACCACACGCAAAGCACAGTGCAGTAGCGACACCGGAGCCAGAGCACACGACCACCGCCTATAGCATCAGCCTCAAGAACTGAGGTGTGGGTAGCCGGCGCGGGGGGTCTGGGGCTCCCCCTTCCCCCTCCCGGGGAGGGGGGAGCTGCGCAGACAGCGGCGCGGCAGTGTGTGACGTCACACTAGTTTGCTTGTTTTCGGTTGGGGAGTTCTATCCACTAGTTCGTTTTAGGTAGCAATTTTAACCAGAATAGGGGTTTGTTTTGGGGCGCTTACCTTTCTGGGTGCCTGTTCCGGTCGATGGCAGACATAGAATGCTTCCAACTACACGGGGGCTTCTATAGGCCATTGCTCCCCTTGCCTCTCTGAGGGGGCCCGGTTCTGGCCGTGGTCCCCGGTAGGCCTAAGAACTCCATACACATGACTGATGCCAAAGTCTGACATTAGCATATCAGCCTGGGATAGCTCCGGGGAGCCGACGGGGCTCCCCCCAGAAAACCACCACCCTCTCCCTCACCACCACCACCACCACCAACACTCTCCCTCACCACCACCACCAACACTCTCCCTCACCACCACCACCACCAACACTCTCCCTCACCACCACCACCACCACCACTCTCTCCTCACCACCACCACCACCAACACTCTCCCTCACCACCCACCACCACCACAACACTCTCCCTCACCACCACCACCACCAACACTCTCCCTCACCACCACCACCACCACACTCTCCCTCACCACCACCACCACCAACACTCTCCCTCCCCACCACCACCACCAACACTCTCCCTCACCACCACCACCAACACTCTCCCTCACCACCACCACCAACACTCTCCCTCACCACCACCACCAACACTCTCCCTCACCACCACCACCAACACTCTCCCTCACCACCACCACCACCACTCTCCCTCACCCCAACACTCTCCCTCACCACCACCACCAACACTCTCCCTCACCACCCCCACCAACACTCTCCCTCACCACCACCACCACCACCCAACACTCTCCCTCACCACCACCACCAACACTCCCTCACCACCACCACCAACACTCTCCCTCACCACCACCACCACCAAACACTCTCCCTCACCACCACCACCAACACTCTCCCTCACCACCACCACCAACACTCTCCCTCACCACCACCACCAACACTCTCCCTCACCACCACCACCCCCCACCACCACAACACTCTCCCTCCCACCACACCACCACCCACACCAACACTCTCCCTCACCACCACCACCACCACCAACACTCTCCCTCACCACCACCACCACCACCAACACTCTCCCTCACCACCACCACCAACACTCTCCCTCACCACCACCACCAACACTCTTCCTCACCACCACCACCAACACTCTCCCTCACCACCACCACCAACACTCTCCCTCACCACCACCACCAACACTCTCCCTCACCACCACCACCACCAACAACACTCTCCCCCACCACCACCACCACCACCAACACTCTCCCTCCCTCTCCACCTCAATGCCTCCCTCCATCAATCACTGCCTCCTATCCCTCTCTCAATGCCTTGCAGGTTGATGGCCTGTTGCCATGTGAGGGTCTGCCGATACCAAAACTAACCCAATGCCGACCTACGATTATATCCACCGCCAGACCGGTATATGAGGCTCCAGATACCGGTCTCCCAAACCGGTCGTTATTACCGGTAGATCGGTATAAAAGATTCCGTTAAATCGAGTGGATACTGAATGATTGTGATATGATGTAGAAAGAAGACATGTCCTAGATGGTAATGTTGAGAAAATGGTTATGATTACCAACAGGAAGGACAGAACCGATGGACCCGAAGGGACACAGAACCAAACCCGGGGAGGGGCCGACACCAAAACCAACTCGTACGTAAGGTGGGCGTAAAGGAACCCCCCTCATACATGTAACAGTAAGACCTACTCGAATGGTAGGAAAACCCAGGAGGGGTCCGATAGGGCCCAAGGCCCCCAAGTCCGCCCCTACCAAACCCCAATGAACCTCCACACCACGACCCGGGGCAGAATCGTCCTCCAAAGCTTTGGCCTCAAAAGAAAAAGCCGGTGCAGCCATAAAACCACTAAGGAAGGGGTCCACTAGTCAGACCCATACGCAACGGCTGAAGGAACCAACTTGAATGCCTCCGTCGCCACTCTGGAAGGGGCATCTCCCGAGACTGCCCAAGTCTCAAAACCTCTAAGGTTTTAGTCACTCCCTTCACTTCCTAGTCACAAAAACACTACAATATAGTTTTGTATACTATATTGTACTTACTAATTTACATAAGAGAAAACATTATCTTTAACTCTACAGGGAGGGATGGCAATAGTTGCACAATATATGGGAGAGGCCACAATAAAATATACCAAAAGTGTGCAAGCCAAAAAAAGCTATGGACAACTCAAGTCACAAGAACTATACTCGTGCTGTGTGAAAGTTGTGCTAGATAACTCGCACTAAACAAAGGTCTACTGTGTGCCTAAAAGTTGATTTGTTAATTCATATAAAGATTTAATTACAGTTAGTCTGTAAATAAAATAAGTATACACTCACCTACTGCAGCAGATTCTCTCGTAACCAGCATGACTAATGTGTCAATGATGGTTGACATGTTCAGCTTCTTTCCATGTTCATTCTCAACTGATAACATGGCCAGACTACCGAGTCTGTCTTGAGACATAACGCTTTTAAGATAGCTGTTAATGTGCTGCAGTTTTGACAAGGACGACTCACATGTTACCACTGTAACTGGTAATGTGAGAAATAATGTGCATGCCGTGCAGATATCCGGAAAACTCGCAGAGAGAACGTACTTTTCCACCATTAAAAGTGAAGCCATTTCCAGCACTGTTGACATCTTACCGAGTTCAGGTTTAATCAACGATCTAAATGCAAGAAGTTGGTTGGGTAGAGTTGGCGACAAGTCTGCTTCATATTGTCTAACTAGTATTTCTCCAGCTGCAAACAATTCGTCGTCAGTAGCCGACACTAGTACTGACGGCTGAATGGCTTTGAACGTAGATACTACATGAGTCAGACTATCAGAACGAAGTTTAGTCTGTGTGGAAGCTATGTCTAGTGTAGCATAAAACACATTCACTTTGAACCATTTTTCAGAATATTTTGATCTTTTGCTATCAGTGAGTTTGTCGTTAAGTTTGTCAACTCTTGGTGGTTGGAACTCTTCGAAGCACTCCGATACTCCCCACATTCTGGCAATCCCTACAGAAATCTCCCAGATGGAACCATACTTGTTTTTAGTTTCCTGTAGAGCAGTATACGATGTTCGGAGAAGAACTGCAGCTTTGCCGAGATCACACCGTGGAGACTCGAGTAGTATCGAGGCACTGCTGATAGACTCAAAAATGTTAGTAACTAGTACAGTAAGAAAGATAAATTGAAATTGCTCAATGTTTGATAGAAGAACAGTTGCTTCAGATACTTCCTCTTCCTTCTTGCTCAGGAGAGTAATATTGCTTAGAAGTTTGTGAACGTCTGCCAAGGCATAACGAAAAGCTAAGAGTGTGTCATGCCACGATGACCAACTTGATGAATATAAACACTCTAGAGCGACATTAGATACAGATGAAAAGTAGGCAAGTTTGTGCCACTGACTGAAGTTTTGAGAGAAAAAACTGTGTACATGTTTTATAATAGTGAAGAACTTCTTCACCTCTGGTACACTAGACATTGCATCCTTCAGGACTACGTTCAAGTTGTGAGCAGCACAATGGACATAATCAGCTTTTGGTTGCATAGAGTTAATGGCTGCTTGCAAATCTGCATATACACCACTCATACAAGCAGTCCCATCATAACCGTGACCGCGTAGTTTTAATATGTCAAGTCCCTCTGCTGAATGACCGTCAGTAGAAACAAAACCCATGAAGGATTCTTTGATTTGTATTTCTAGTGGTTTACCATTGTGATCATTGCAGACAGAAACGTAACGAACTACCTGACTAAGGTGGCTTGTGTTGCCCAGATCTTGTGTCGTGGTCATCATCACGGAGAAGAATGGTGCCGTATTCACGTTTTTTATTATTTCATCTCTGATGCCCTTGGAAAGTAAATCAATCAGGTCCTTGTGTAATTTCAGACTGTAGAACTTACTCGCTGCTCCTGGCATACGTAGCAGCTTGTCCAGCACAGGATCATGTTTTGCTAGCAGTGTAATAATGGAAAGAAAATTCCCATGATAATCAAATATAGTTCCTTGTTCCTTTCTACTTCCCAGCGATATGTAGGAGGCAGCTAGTGTCAGTGTTGTACTGATTATTCTTTCCAAAACCTGTCTCCAGAAGACTGCATTCTTTCTTGTATCTTCCTGCACATTCTTCATCAAATTCTCCTGCAAACGTTTCTGCTCAAGTATCATGCAGCACTGCAGATGGTGGCTAGAACTTTCGTGTCTTTTAATATTACTTTCAATCCAATACCAATCACTCGTTCCTGTTATCCAAGAGCTCTCCCCCTCTGCATCTGCAAAAAGCCAGCATGCCTCACAGTATGCATAGTCCGATGCTGTCGAATAGCAGAGCCACCGTCGTGGGAATCTCACGCCGGCTTTGTTTACCACGGTGTAGTATGACTCAGAGAAACATTTTCCATTCAGCAGAGAACTGGGTGGAAATGGTCCTGGTGGTTGACATGGTCCATTCAATATAATGAATTGCTTTTCTTCAGTGCTAAGTGGTTCCTTGAAATGTGCTTTGTCGCATGGGAAGTGTTGTGAGAGAATATTTTCAGGGAAACCTCTCAAATTCTGGTGAGAATCACATGAATATGATCCCGGTGACTCGCATAGTGCATTTGAGGCACTGAATTGCTCGTCTTGAATGATGAGAGGATCTCTCAAGTGCAGTTTGTTATTTGAGGACTGCTGGGAAGCAACGTTTTCACACAAACCTGATCCATTCTTGTGAGAAGTGGACGGAATTGACTCTTGTGTCTGATGTGATCTCTTGGCAGCAGTGACCTGCATGTCTTCAGCTGTGAGAGGTTTCTCTAATTGTACACTGTCACTCGAAGTCCCTGGTCTCTTAGCAGCGAGAAGTTTCTCTAATTGTACACTGTCACTCGAAGTCCCTGGTCTCTTAGCAGCGAGAAGTTTCTCTAATTGTACACTGTCACTTGAGGTCCCTGGTCTCTTAGCAGCGAGAAGTTTCTCTAATTGTACACTGTCACTTGAGGTCCCTGGTCTTTTAGCAGCGAGAGGTTTCTCTAATTGTACACTGTCACTTGAGGTCCCTGGTCTTTTAGCAGCGAGAGGTTTCTCTAATTGTACACTGTCACTTAAGGTCCCTGGTCTCTTAGCAGTGAGAAGTTTCCCCATTTGTACACTGTCACTTAAGGTCCATGGTCTCTTAGCAGTGAAAGGTGTCCTTAATTGTACATTGTCACTTGAGGTCCCTGGTCTCTTAGCAGTGAGAGGTTTCTCTAATTGTACACTGTCACTTGAGGTCCCTGGTCTCTTAGCAGCGAGAGGTTCCTCTAATTGTACACTGTCACTTGAGGTCCATGGTCTCTTAGCAGCGAGAGGTTTCTCTAATTGTACGCTGTCACTTGAGGTCCCTGGTCTCTTAGCAGCAAGAGGTTTCTCTAATTGTACATTGTCACTTGAGGTCCCTGGTCTCTTAGCAGTGAGAGGTTCCTCTAATTGTACACTGTCACTTGAGGTCCCTGGTCTCTTAGCAGCGAGAGGTTCCTCTAATTGTACACTGTCACTAGAGGTCCCTGGTCTCTTAGCAGCGAGAGGTTTCTCTAACTGTACACTGTCACTAGAGGTCCATGGTCTCTTAGCAGCGAGAGGTTTCTCTAATTGTACACTGTCACTTGAGGTCCCTGGTCTCTTAGCAGCGAGAGGTTTCTCTAATTGTACACTGTCACTTGAGGTCCCTGGTTTCTTAGCAGTGAGAGGTTTCTCTAATTGTACACTGTCACTTGAGGTCCATGGTCTCTTAGCAGCGAGAGGTTTCTCTAATTGTACACTGTCACTAGAGGTAAATGGTCTCTTAGCAGTGAGAGGTTTCTCTAATTGTACACTGTCACTTGAGGTCCCTGGTCTCTTAGCAGCGAGAGGTTTCTCTAATTGTACACTGTCACTCGGGGAATGTTGTGAAGCCATATTTTCTGACAAGCCTCTCTTGTTCCGAAGAGGGTTGTATGGAAATGGTCCAAGTGACCGATGCACATCAAACTCAGCATCTTGAGTACTGAGAGATCTAGTTAAGTTCAAGTTTTTACTTGGGACCTTTTCTGAAGCAACTTTTTTAGGCTTTGCACATTTATCCTTTTTATTTTTGCATGTACTTTTCTTGCCCGCACCACTGTCACTGAAATCTGCAGCGTCACTCTTCCCTTGAGTACTGAGAGGTCCAGTTAAGTTCAAGTTTTTACTTGGGACTTTTTGTGAAGCAACTTTTTTAGGCTTTTCACATTTATCCTTTTTATTTATACTTTTATTGCCCTCATTGCTGTCACTGAAATACTCATCACTGGAGTTCGCAGTGTCACTGTTCCTGCCACATGGAGTCCAGTCACTGTCACTGTCATCAGCCTCAGTAGAGTTGTCCTCACAACTGGAGTTCACAAAAGTGTCACTGCTATGTACCTTAGTGTTGCGTTTGCACGATGATGCTGCTCGGCCTCGTAGATGCCGAGATGCTGGGTCTCCCAGATGTGATGACACTTTATCTTCAAGACACGATGCAGGGCCTTCCAGATGTAACGGTGCTGGGCCTTCCAGATGTAACGGTGCTGGGCCTTCCAGATGTGACGTTGCTGGGCTTTCCAGATGTAACGGTGCTGGGCCTTCCAGATGTGACGGTGCTGGGCCTTCCAGATGTGACGGTGCTGGGCCTTCCAAATGTGACGGTGCTGGGCCTTCCAGATGTGACGGTGCTGGGCCTTCCAGATGTGATGGTGCTGGGCCTTCCAGATGTGACGGTGCTGGGCCTTCCAGATGTGACGGTGCTGGGCCTTCTAGATGTAACGGTGCTGGGCCTTCCAGATGTGACAGCACTAAGCCCTCCAGCTGTAACGGTGCTGGGCCTTCCAGATGTGACGGCACTAAGCCCTCCAGCTGTGACGGTGCTGGGCCTTCCAGATGTGACGGTGCTGGGCCTTCCAGATGTGACGGCACTAAGCCCTCCAGCTGTGACGGTGCTGGGCCTTCCAGATGTGACGGTGCTGGGCCTTCCAGATGTGACGGTGCTGGGCCTTCCAGATGTGATGGCACTAAGCCCTCCAGATGTGACGGTGCTGGGCCTTCCAGCCACTGCAACACAGAACCCTCTAGCAAGGACGACACTGAGCCCTTCAACCATGATGACACTTGGTCCTCCAGCCAAGATGATGCTTGACCCTCGTGACAAAATGATGCTGGGCTAGCCAAGTGACCCATTTTTGACCGTTTCTTGCCCTGAAATATAGAAATTATGTAAAATATTACTATCATATACAATGGTTTTGCAACATTCTTAACTCATCCATGGAATCTATATGGTGCATTATACTAGCTCAAAATGGTACCAAACTGACAGTGGGAGTATGGTACCTAACTGAGGGAGTGAGCTCATACATGTCAATGTTTGCAGACGACACAAACCTCAGTGTAAACAAAGGGAAACATGTAAACCATATAAACAAAAGTGAGTGGAGTTTACTCACTGTCAGTGCTATGTACCTCACTGTTGGGGCTGCAGGATGACAATGCTGGGCCTTCTAGACGTGATGATGCTGGGCCTTCTAGACGTGATGATGCTGGGCCTTCTAGACGTGATGATGCTGGGCCTTCTAGACGTGATGATGCTGGGCCTTCTAGACGTGATGATGCTGGGCCTTCTAGACGTGATGATGCTGGGCCTTCTAGACGTGATGATGCTGGGCCTTCTAGACGTGATGATGCTGGGCCTTCTAGACGTGATGATGCTGGGCCTTCTAGACGTGATGATGCTGGGCCTTCTAGACGTGATGATGCTGGGCCTTCTAGACGTGATGATGCTGGGCCTTCTAGACGTGATGATGCTGGGCCTTCTAGACGTGATGATGCTGGGTCTTCTAGATGTGATGATGCTGGGCCTTCTAGACGTGATGATGCTGGGCCTTCTAGACGTGATGATGCTGGGCCTTCTAGATGTGATGATGCTGGGCCTTCTAGATGTGATGATGCTGGGACTTCTAGACGGGATGATGCTGGGCCTTCTAGACGTGATGATGCTGGGCCTTCTAGACGTGATGATGCTGGGCCTTCTAGACGGGATGATGCTGGGCCTTCTAGACGGGATGATGCTGGGCCTTCTAGACGGGATGATGCTGGGACTTCTAGACGGGATGATGCTGGGACTTCTAGACGGGATGATGCTGGGACTTCTAGACGTGATGATGCTGGGACTTCTAGACGTGATGATGCTGGGCCTTCTAGACGTGATGATGCTGGGCCTTCTAGACGTGATGATGCTGGGACTTCTAGATGGGATGATGCTGGGACTTCTAGACGGGATGATGCTGGGACTTCTAGACTGGGCACCGCTGGGTCATCCAGACCTCCCAGAGATGATGTTCCCGGGCCTCCCAGAGATGGTGATGTTTGGTCTTTTAAATGGACCCTTTCTGACTGCTTATTGCCCTGAAATACAAACCTTACATCAAATATACTGGATGATGGTAAGATACCATTTTAACCTACACACATATTACTGTTAGCTACTTGCAGTTTCATCTGTCGTGGGGTGTGAAGGGATCAGTCCAGAGAGAGAAAAGTGAATAATATAGTAAATGAAGGATATGCAACAGTCATTAACTCCTTAACTGCTCGGCTTCTAAATATGACACCCCCCAGTGCGCAGGAAATAAATTCTCTGGAAAAAATTCTTTTCTTTTTTTAAAGTGTCAAACACCCTTCCCTCAGTATGGGTATGTCAACAAAAATTTGACATTGTACGTACTTTGGCTGCTATGGGGTCCATAAGTTGGCGCGTGATGTCATCATTTCCCGTTCTCCCGTGACATACGCTCCCGGGGCCGGTGGGGCGCCCGGGGCGGGGCGCGCGAGCTGCCGCGAATATATTTTTGTTCATTTTTTGCACACAGTTCAAAATACATTTTATTTGTTTTTATGTGCTAATCCTATGTATAATGAACACGTGCACTATTTTATGGCAGTAAAACATCTGTACTGTCCGAAGACACTGTGTTACGTGCATGACACTTGTGTACACATATGTTGTACATATTTACCATGTATCATGCTAATTTATGTATATATACAATCTATTTACAGACTATACACTGTCACACACTATATACATTCACCATCAACACACACACAGAACTCCTCGAGTGTGAGCTGCCACACCCAGCCAGCCAGTCCTCCCTCTCTCCTCCATCATCATACTCGCCATCACCCTTCCTCCCACCATACTCTTACTGTTTTTATTACACTATTTACGTATGTTATGTATACCTATCTACATGTTTTATTCACCAGAACTATGCAAGTAAGCCAGTATTGTGTTCAAACAGTACAGTTGCCACCATACACTGCATGAGAAATCACACAGCAGACGACGCTACGATTACGACGTCAACGCCCTCACCAAAATAGCTCCTCTCAACATACTCCTGTTGCTGTTATTACACTATATACACACACTGTATATATCCATGTACATATGTGTTCCCCATAGCGAACCACTAAGCTAGTATGGTGAGCAAAACAAGAGTGGCTGCCACACAGTGAGGCTACCTCAATTCTCTCACTCCCTCCCTCACCAAAATTCCTCCTTCCACAATAATATGCACAATGCTAATTATAACCACAATCCTGCTATTATCACAATAATGGTCACTAATTCCTGTAAATGAATAATTGACCACACATTTATTTTGAAAAAGAACCTAAGAAGTCATTTGAAGATTCCTAGATGGACGAAATAATGCTGTGGTGTTGTGGCTAGCGCTGTGAACATCATGAACAGCATTGAATCGCTGATATTTGAATATTGTACCCCAGTCATTATCACACTCAGGCTCTTCTATAATACTATCATGGCTAAATAATACAAGTTATATATATATTTTTTGACACTATTAGGCGATGCTGTGTGGTCACACGCTGAACAGCAGTGCTGTGCGCTTATGTTGCGAGCGCCAGCTTTGGTTGCTCACTCACTACTGAGGCTCTCACACCCGGAAATGTGGACCACGATTTTTTTAAAGATGGCGTCTGTTTACAAGAGCCCTGAGGAAGCTGATGTGAACCCCATGTAGCCACGGGAGTTTTGAATGGAACGTGAAAAATAAAAACAGCCGGAGGCGCGTTGCGCAAACCAGACATGGGCCTGCAGGCGCATTGCGCAGTTTAAGGGTTAACAAATATTTTTCATCCATATATTCAATCATTCATATATGCTGCCACCTCCAATATTGGGACCACTTTATAAACCACATCATCAAATAACACACAAATGTTCCCATTGCATTTTTTTCTAAGGAATTCGAATTCAATACAGATTTTTGGCAACTGCCAGTGAGAACCCCAAACAGATTCCATATACCTGTACTGGTATTATCTTACGGCATCATTTTCCCACTTTCGTTTTCGTCTTGTGCTTTTAAGCGTTATTCTAAAAACCTGCATTGAATGTAATGAAATGCCTCTTTTTAACCCTTTAACTGCGCAACGCGCCTGCAGGCCCACGTCTGGGGTGCGCAACGCGCCTCCGGGTATTTATATTTTTCACGTTCCATTCAAAACTCCCGCGGCTACATGGGGTTCACATCAGCTTCCTCAGGGCTCTTGTAAACAGATGCCATCTTTAAAAAACCAGCATTGAATGTAATGAAACGCCATTTTTTGGGGCGAGTCCCGGAGGCTCCCTGGAGCTATCCCAGGTTGATATGCTAATGTCAGACTTTGGCATCACTCATGTATATGGAGTTCTAAGGCCTACCGGGGACCACAGATAGACCCGGCCCCCCCCCCCTCAGAGAGGCAAGAGGAGCAACGGCCTATAGAAACCCCCCTGTAGTTGGGAGCATTCTATGTCTGCCATTGACCGGATCAGGCACCCAGAAAGGTAAGCACCCCAAAACAAACCCCTATTCTGGTTAAAATTGCTACCAAAAGCCGATCTAGTGGATAGAACTCCCCAACAGAAAACAAGAAAGCTAGTATGACGTAATACATCGCCACACCGCTGTCTGCGCAGCTCCCCCTCCCCGGGAGGAGGAAGGGGGAGCCCCAGACCCTTCATGCCGGCTACCCACACCTCAGTTCTGAGGCTGGATGTCAAAAACACAAAAAAAATGCCGACCAGAGGGAGGGAGGGATGCCGGGTAGCCTCCGGGACTCACCCAGGAAATGGCGTTTCATCACATTCAATGCTGGTTTTCTGGGGAAAGCTCCGTTGGCTCCCCGGAGCTAACTACCCACAGACGGAGAAAGAGGGACTTACCCGGGAGGAGGTCGTCGCTCACTCCTCAATTCGAAGTCGAGACAACTGGCTGCAACCACCGTCCTAAAGCAACACAAGCCCGACGGGGCCCAGGGACATTCACGAGGTAACGAGCAGCTAGGACCCTGTTCGACCACCAAAAACCCCGCGCCCGGATATCAGACCAAGACATGTTTCCAAAGACGGCAGCAAGAGCTGTGAACTTACGGACGTCATGGGCACGGGGATAGACCGCAGGCTGGCTGGATTTGATAACCCTGCAGACAACCTGGGAGACCCAAACCCGCGAACAGGGAAGAAGGGAAACCGGATCAACCCAAAGCGCGTCCCCGGACACAAAGCATGATGCACCCCCGGCCATACCAACCAAGCATCAACTACCCACGGACCTCTCCTGAACGCAGCAGTCTCATTCTTCGCCAGAAAAGAAGGAGACGGCTGCAGGCGAACAAAACAATCGCCACGACTGAAAAAGCAGAAACCCCCTGCGCTGGAGGAGAGCATGAAGCTCCCTGACCCGACCCCCCAGAGGCTAATGCCAACAGGAAAAGAGCCTTGGAGAAACAATCCTGGACCGGAGGGGCCACAACGTAACGAGGAGACGAGAGGTAAGCAAGCACTCCGTCCAAAGACCAGGATGGCTCAGGCGGCGCATGAGCAGGCCGGAGGTGAAACAAAGCACAAGACAGCTTGCGAAACGGCGTGAAGGGTCTGGGGCTCCCCCTTCCCCCTCCCAGGGGAGGGGGAGCTGAGCAGACAGCAGTACGGTGACGTGTGATGTCATACTACTGTAACCACTCAATTATCTGGGATTCGAACATCCAGAAAACGCCCTTATATGGCCAAAACTGTGACCGGATAAAGTTATCTCAACATTCAGTCAAAATGGCCATGGGAGCTGGTTAAATTGCTGCCAATGTTACACTATCCGGACACAGTCAGCCGGATAATCATTGAATTGTCCAGATATGAAAGCCATAGGGCGGGTCGTACCGTATTAATCCCATCTGGCTGTGGCTGGCTGGCTCGAGGTGCGTGGTGGAGGAGGGGGTGGGTGGGTGGGTGGTGTCGGGAGGATGGGAGGGGAGCGTTGGGAGGGACCACCTGGGTACAAGAATTACAATTAATTTTAGAACAATTCATCATAGCTAAAAACAAAAGAAATACTAGTAATTATGTAATAACAAATATATAAATTTCCTAAGAACAATGTACACAGGCTGAAGTTTCCTTAAAAAATATTGTGAGTTATTTTCCTCCTGGCGGCCTGCGTAACGTGCTATAGCTGCCCCAAGTGGACCCGTCCAACACTGGTCAACCCATGTGCTCCCGTCCCTCGTGTTATACCACAGTGTCGCACCATAAGTGAAATATTTTTTTAAATAAGTTTTTTATTTTCATAGTAACTTTAAACATTTTTGGCCAAGACTATGTCTGGTAGCAGCATCAATCGTTCTGGAGGTGTTAAGAGGAAGAAGGTTGTTCTAACAATTAAAGACAAGTTACTTGTTATACACCTCAACAAGTGAGGCATCACAGGCAAACCAAATGCCTTCAACAAGTGAGGCGTCACAGGCAAGCCAAGCGCCTTCAACAAGTGAGGTGCAAGAACGCATTCAACCAGTGAGGCGTCACAGGCAAGCCAAGCCCCTTAAACAAGTGAGGCGCAAGCAAGCGCCTTCAACAAGTGAGGCGCAAGCAAGCGCCTTCAACAAGTGAGGCGCAAGCAAGCGCCTTCAACAAGTGAGGCGCAAGCAAGCGCCTTCAACAAGTGAGGCGCAAGCAAGCGCCTACAACAAGCGAGGCCTCACAGGCAACCCAAATGCCTTCAACCAGTGAGGCTTCAGCAGCTGGCAGTCAAAACTAACTTTGCTTAATGAACTGTACAGTAATTTTAAGTGTTAATTTTACTGTTGTGTTAGTATAGGTTATGTAAATTGTTAAGAATTCTTAACTTCAAGATGTGTGAAGTTGTCTTCAATCAAGGAGACGAACACCAACAAGGTAAGTTGAGGTTTCTAGTTGAATATTTAATAATTATATGTGGCAAGGCAATTCAAATTATTTTGTTTGTGGTATAAAAATAGTTGGAAATGGTCACTTTTGGACTCAAGAGGTGAAAAAGTACCATTATCCGGAACACATGAATATCGGGGTGGGGGTCCTTCCCATATAGTCCAGGTAATCGAGTGGAGACAGTAGTGTGCTCGTTTTCTGTTGGGGAGTTCTATCCACTAGTTTGGCTTTTGGTAGCAATTTTAACCAGAATAGGGGTTTGTTTTGGGGCACTTACATTTCTGGGTGCCTGATCCAGTCGATGGCAGACATAGAATGCTTCCAACCACACGAGGGTTTCTATAGGCAATTGCTCCCCTTGCCTCTCGGAGGGAGCCCGGTTCTGGCCGTGGTCCCCGATAGGCCTAAGAATTCCATACACATGACTGATGCCAAAATCTGACATTAGCATATCAGTCTGGGATAGTTCCGGGGAGCCGATGGGGCTCCCCCCCCCCCCCCCCCACAGAAAAAATCTTGGTCCACATTCCCGGGTGTCAGAGCCTCAGTACTGAGTGAGCAGCCAAGGCCGGCGCACGCAGCATGAGCTCACAGCACTGCTGTTCAGCTTATGACCACAGCATTGCCTAATAATATCAAAATATATATAAATATATATATATTGTATTATTTATCCATGATAGTACTGTATTACAGAATAGCCTGAGTACTCACCTAGTCGTACTCACCTAGTTGTGCTTGCGGGGGGTTGAGCTCTGGCTCTTTGGTCCCGCCTCTCAACCGTCAATCAACAGGTGTACAGGTTCCTGAGCCTATTGGGCTCTCTCATATCTACACTTGAAACTGTGTATGGAGTCAGCCTCCACCACATTGCTTCCTAATGCATTCCATTTGTCAACCACTCTGACACTAAAAAAGTTCTTTCTAATATCTCTGTGGCTCATTTGGGCACTCAGTTTCCACCTGTGTCCCCTAGTGCGTGTGCCCCTTTTGTTAAATAGTCTGTCTTTATCAACCCTGTCGATTCCCTTGAGAATCTTGAATGTGGTGATCATGTCCCCCCCTAACTCTTCTGTCTTCCAACGAAGTGAGGTTCAATTCCCGTAGTCTCTCCTCGTAGCTCATACCTCTCAGCTCGGGTACTAGTCTGGTGGCAAACCTTTGAACCTTTTCCAGTTTAGTCTTATGCTTGACTAGATATGGACTCCATGCTGGAGCCGCATACTCCAGGATTGGTCTGACATATGTGGTATATAATGTTCTGAAAGATTCCTTACACAAGTTTCTAAAGGCCGTTCTTATGTTAGCCAACCTGGCATATGCTGCTGATGTTATCCTCTTGATATGAGCTTCAGGGGACAGGTCTGGGGTGATATCAACTCCCAGGTCTTTCTCTCTCTCTGACTCTTGAAGTATTTCATCTCCCAAGTGATACCTTGTATCTGGTCTCCTGCTTCCTACCCCTATCTTCATTACATTACATTTGCTTGGGTTAAACTCTAACATCCATTTGTTCGACCATTCCTGCAGCTTGTCCAGGTCTTCTTGAAGCCTCAAGCTGTCCTCCTCTGTCTTAATCCTTCTCATAATTTTGGCGTTGTCAGCAAACATTGAGAGGAATGAGTCTATACCCTCTGGGAGATCATTTACGTATATCAGAAACAGGATAGGTCCAAGCACAGAGCCCTGTGGGACTCCACTGGTGACTTCCCGCCATTCTGAGGTCTCACCCCTCCCTATAACTCTCTGCTTCCTATTGCTTAGGTATTCCCTTATCCACTGGAGCGCCCTACCAGTTACTCCTGCCTGTATGTGATAATGTAATGAGTGTGATAATGACTGTGTGCAATGTTCAAATATTAGTAATTCAATGTTGTTCACGATGTTCACAGCATTAGACACAGCACCACAGCATCATTTCATCCATCTAGGAATCTTCAAATGACTTCTTAGGTTCCTTTACAAAATAAACTTGTGTTCAATTATGTATTTACAGGATTCAGTGACCAGTATTGTGATAACAGAGGGATTGTGATGATAATTAGCACTGTGCGTAGTATTGTGGGAGGGGAGGAATTGTGGTGAGGGAGCGAGGGAGAGAATCGAGGTAGCCTCACTGTGTGTGACAGCCACTCTTGTTTTGTTCATCATACATGCTTAGTGGTTCGTTAGATAGATATACATAACATATGTAAATAGTGTAATACAAACAATAACAGTATGGTGGGAGGAGTAATGTTGGCAAGTAAGATGTTGGAGGAGTGAGGGAGAGACTGGATGTTGGAGGAGTGAGGGTGTGGCAGCTGACACTCGCGGAGTTCTGAGTGTGTTCATGGGGAATGTATATAGTGTGTGATAGTGTAGTGTGTAAATAGACTGTAGTGTATATATACATAAATTAGCATGATACAATGAAAATATGTGCCAGATATGTGTACACAAGTGCCATGCACGTAACACAGTGTCTTCGGACAGTACGGATGTTCTACTGCCATAATATAGTGTACGTGTTCATTATACATAGGATTGGCACGTAAAAGCAAATAGAATGTATTTGGAACTGTGCGCAGAAAATGAACAAAAATATATTCACGGCAACTCACGCATCCTGCCCCGGGACCCCCTACCGACTCCGGGGGCGTACACCACGGGCGACCATGGAATGATGACGTCACGCGCGAACTTACGAACCCCATAGCAGCCAAAGTACGTACAATTCCGACCTTCTGTTACTATACCCATACTCGGGGAAGGGTTTTTGACACTTTCAAAACAAAAACAAAAACTAATTTTTTCCAGAGAATGTATTTCCTGCACACTGGGGGGGGGGTGTCATATTTGGAGGCCGCACAGTTAAGGGGTTAATAGAGCCATAGTGACTCCCTGAAGCTATCTTGCTGAGATGGTTCCTCGTTAGTGGGTCACACGAGTCGCAGGGGATCCAGTTTGACCTAACAGAGAACAGGACCAGAACCTGGCCCCCTCGTGGAGATGCAAGGCACAGGGATTATTACAGTATAATCACCCTCACCGAGAGAGCATCCAGAAAATCAGTGAAGCAATACAGACAACTGCAAGGTTCATTGAATGATGAAGCACTGAAACAGCCAAGCAACTCTGCAAATGATTCATTCTAAACCAGATGGTTCACTCAAAATGAGTTCAAATCTCTTAGTACCGATAGCCACCACCAGGTAGCCTGGAGCCCAGGCCCACAGATGATTCCAATAAACCAGCTACATGCTTACCATACAAGTGGTGATAGACTCGCATCAGAAACTCCAGACGTGTAGATTAGAGGAGAGGGTGAAACCAGCAAGGTATGTTGCCAGGCCAATCTGCTGATAGATGAAAAGCTGCATATAAAAATGCTCGGGTTGGGTCACTGGGCCATTAGAGCCAGAAACTAAAGAGGAGCTGACCACCAAGGAACTAAAAGAATCACACTCCCTAATAATGACTCCAGTCAGGACAGCACCCAGAGCAAGAACTGAACCAGAGGAAAGAGGTATATAAACCCCCACCTCAATCAGTTCAGCCAATAGGGATCCAATGTGAAGAACTCATGATTGGGAAACAGAGCCACACGGGATTGGAAGTGTCAGTTCAGCCCCAATGTGAAGAGGTCCATCTCAGGGTAGGTGAATATCTTGTAAAGCCAATGGAAGGATGCTTTGTCAACAGTCCTCTCCGTAAATATGAGAAGGAAGCAAGATAATTCACCCACGAGAACGTTGGACACACCCTGCACATGAACAGTATGGTGAACCAAACCCCAAGAATCCACAAGCCCAGCTATGTGAAGAGTCCAGCTTCAATAAGGCAACAAAACACAAGCAAATGGTCTCTGCAGAACAGAGTCCAAAGGATGGCCACCACTTACTGAAAAGCAGTAGGATTTACTGCAAGGGCTGACAACCTGGGAGCATGACAGGAATCAACCACATCAGCAACAGGGCTGACCACTGTAGCCGGCTGTGGGCCGGGGGGCTCCGGGCTACCTGCAGATGGCTATAGGTACTAACAGATTTGAGCTAGTTTCAAGTGAACAATCTGGTTTAGTCCAAACCATTTGTGAAGTCATTTAGCAGTTTCATTGCTTCCTTTTTTATAAACCTTGCAGTTGTCTGTAAAGCTTCAGTGAATTTCTGGATACTTTCCTAATGTGTGGTGACAATAATAGTCCCCCTTGTTTCTCCACCTGTCAGGGGGCCAGATTGTGGCTCTGGTCTATAGCAGGCCATACAGGACCCAGTAGTGGGACACCACCTCGGCAAGATAGCTCCAGGGACCAACCGAAGGGCTTCTCCCAGAAAACAAACACGAGAAACTCTCACCTGGCTAAAACTGGTTGCTTCATGGCCCGAGACCATCGTGTTGGTAGTAACGTCGGTGGCATCGTGGCCCGCGACCATCGAGTTGGTAGTAACGTCGGTGGCACCATGGCCCGAGACCACCATGTTGCCATTAACATTAAGCAGGTGTGCTGCATCATCCTGCCCCTCACGGTACTCATCACACATCTCACTAACTCCCCATTCTTTCATCGTTACTCCTGTAAAAAAAAACAGCGTTGAATGTAATGAAACGCCATCTTCTGGGTGAGACCTGGAGACTCCCCAGAACTATCCAGGCTGATATGCTAATGTCTGACTTTGGCATCAGTCATGTGTATGGAGTTCTTTGGACCATGGCCAGAACCTGGCCCCTCAGAGAGGCAAGGGGAGCAATGGCCAGAGAGGCAAGGGGAGCAATGGCCTATAGAAGCTCCCGTGTGGTTGGAAGCATTCTATGTCTGCCATCGCCCGGGTCAGGCACCCAGAAAGGTAAGCGTCCCAAAACAAACTCCTATTCTGGTGAAAATATTGCTACCAAAAGCCGAACAAGTGGATAGTACTCCTCCAAACAAAAACGAGCAAACTAGTGTGACGTCACCCGTTGCCGCACCGCCATCTGCGCAGGTTTCCCCCTGCACGGGAGGAGGAAGGGAGAGCCCCAGACCTACCGCGTCGACGATCTACACCCCAGTTCTGAGGCTGGATGTCAAAACATGCAAAAAACCTCCAAGCGAAGGGAGGGAGGGATGCCGGGGAGCCTCCAGGTCTCCCCCAGACAATGGCATTTCATTACATTCAACGCCGCTTTTCTGGGGGGGAGCCCCTATGGCTCCCCCCTCTCGGATGGACTCGCGCTCAGGTAAACCCAGGCAGAGTACTGCTAACTGGTGCCCAAAACTACCAAACAAACTGTCTACAGCTGAACCCCCAGGGACGTGTACGCTCACGGGGACCTAGCAGGGGACACCAAGTATCAGGATGAGACCAAACACCAGTGGCAAGTAGGGCAGAACCCCCTACCAAGGCAAAAACAAAAACAAAACCCCACAAGAGGACAACGTACCCCAAGGAACAGAGCCGGCCGCTGTGATTGGTGACAACAAGCTGCACAGCACCCTGTGCCCTGTACCAGTGCAAAACTGCCTCCTACTCTAAGGTAAACTAGGGAGACAAAACACCCAAGTATCCAAAGGGCGGCTGAAAAACCGAGCAGTTAAACGGACCCAAAGAGGCAGATCCCAAGCAACCTGTGGAAGGTAACCCCAAGCTCCAAGGGCAGTACTTACAGGGCACCTAGGGAAGAAAACCCTAGGCGCATGCAGCCCAAGTACTGAAGAGTAACTCCTGGCTCTCGCACCCCTGGAGAACAGCCGCCACACACAAGGCACAGCGCCGTAAAAGTCTGGAGCCAGAGCACACAACTGCTGCCTATAGCATCAGCCTCAAGAACTGAGGTGTGGATCGCTGGCGCTGTAGGTCTGAGGCTTCCCCTTCCCCCTTCCCAGGGAGGGGGGGGCTGTGCAGATGGCGGCCCGGCAACGGGTGACGTCACATTAGTTTGCTCGTTTTTGTTTGGGGAGTTCTATCCACTTGTTCGGCTTTTGGTAGCAATATTTTCACCAGAATAGGGGTTTGTTTTGGGATGCTTACCTTTCTGGGTGCCTGACCCAGTCGATGGCAGACATAGAATGCGTCCAACCACACGGGGGCTTCTATAGGCCATTGCTCCCCTTGCCTCTCTGAGGGGGCCAGATTCTGGCTCGTGGTCCCTGGTAGGCCCACAGAACTCCATACACATGACTGATGCCAAAGTCTGACATTAGCATATCAGCCTGGATAGCTCCAGGGAGCCGAAGGGGCTTCCCCCAGAAAATTAACTAAACTGAGACACCCAGCATTCAATGTAATGGAACTCTTCTTTCTGTTAGAGCCCCGGTGCTTCCCTTGCTGAAATTGTTCTAAGTTAATGGGTCATATCAGTCACTGAAGTTGTGTTTGGTGTACCTGGGACCAGAGCCAGAACTTGTTCCCCCTTCCCCCCCCTCCTCCTCCCTCACACCTGGGACCAGAGCCAGAACTTGTTCCCCCTTCCCCCCCTCCTCCTCCCTTACACCTGGGACCAGAGCCAGAACTTGTTCCCCCTTCCCCCCCTCCTCCTCCCTCACACCTGGGACCACAGAAACAACTTGTCTCCCCTCTCCCTCCCCCTCCCCTCACACAAGGGCAGGAAGGGAGTGGCAGCCTTCTCCCTCCCCCTTCCCTCACACAAGGGCAGGAAGGGAGTGGCAGTCTACCACCCTACTGGAAAAGCTTCCAGAAAGTCAGTAAAGCTTTACAAGCAACTGGAGGTTATACAGAAAATGAAGCGTCAAAACAACCCCCAAACAACTCCGCAAGTGATTCATATGGGTCGGGGGGACTCGCTTAAACTAGCTCAAAATTCATCAGTACCGATCAACACCGCAAGGCAGCCTGGCTCCTGCCCTCAGCTGGCTCACCGCCTCAGTTCTGGAGCTGATGAACAACTCCCTGACAAACCAACGAACCTGGAAGGGAGAACATCAGGAAGCCACCGAAGCTCTACCTCAAAGAGATATTTCATTACATTCTATGAATGTAGTCATAGAGTATAGAATGTAGAGAACTAAAGGACTCAACCAACACAGCAACAGGGCTGACCATTGTTGCCTAATAGTTAAGGTCAATGGTAGTTAGTCACCTAATTGTTAAGGTCACAGTCTCCGTGGTGTAGTGGTAAGACACTCGCCTGGCGTTCCGCGAGCGCTATGTCATGGGTTCGTATCCTGGCCGGGGAGGATTTACTGGGCGCAATTCCTTAACTGTAGCCTCTGTTTAACGCAACAGTAAAATGTGTACTTGGATGAAAAAACGATTCTTCGCGGCAGGGGATCGTATTCCAGGGACCTGCCCGAAACTCTACACGTACTAGTGGCTGTACAAGAATGTAACAACTCTTGTTTATATCTCAAAAAAAAAAATGATGTGTTTCAGGAGGCCCCCCCCCCCCACATGGCTCCCTGAAGCTAACTACGAAGAATGAGAATGGGACTTACCAGGAAGGAGGAGAGGCAGCAGGCACTGAGACTGAATCAGTGAGGGTAAAGACCCATTGAGAAGAAGCCTCACACACAATTCAGGGTTGTAGGGTTCACCTGCTGAGCAGGCAGCATGGCGTAGGTAGGGCAGAGAGAATGATCGTCAGGTAGCAAAGACAATGAACATACTTCAAGCTCACACACACGGCGAACACGGGCTCGAAGGACGATCCATCACGGACCACATCAGGCACTGGTGAAGGGATTACCAGGATCTGAAAATTCCTAACCAAGCAGAACCCCAGGCACCAGGGTGGCTCGCCGAAAGAAGTTGCCAAATGCAGTTAAACACAACAAGGCTCTGAACAGCAACCACATTGTGCCATATGAGCATGCAGACAAACCCCAGAATGCCCCAACACAACCAAACAGCACCCCTAGCAAAAAGACCCAAACAAAAGAATAACAGATTTCTGAATAGCCTAAGGTGAGACTATCCACCCTGGAGGCATGGCCTCTCAGGGGCAAACTCCCAAGCACACAAGAGAAGTGTTACGGAAATACCTTGCTTAGGCAAGGAGATCCTGCCAATTCCTTTACCACCTATTCAACAACATATCTGCATACTCCAGTATAAAAAATCAACATCAAGAACAACAACAATGCATGCTCAGAAGCCGTGTCTAGACAGACACCACCACCACCCTCCCCCCCCCCCTCAGCTTAAGTACCCAACACACCTGGACACCTGCTGTCTCGAGGCCCAGCTCCACTCGCTGGTCAACCAGCCTAACTGCTTGTTTGAGACTGCCGGCGACAATTCCCTGCACATCAGCGCCACCTACACTGGACCTGGCCATGTATATATAGCAGCTCACCACCAGCCAGACTTCAGAATACTCTTCGTGCTCCAAGCTGCAAGATCTACTCTCGTTCCCCTGGGTGTCGGTAGATTCGAGCAGCTCTTGTATAAAGTATTATATTTTGCACCTTTTCTTTTATATTAACGTAACTGTCACATGCTTGTTTCTCTTGCATTTTATAGTGTGTATTGCTAAGTAGAATAAGAGAATTGTTTTATTTGTTGTTAAAGTCATTTTTGTTATATTAAATATTTTTTTTTTTCATTCTTTTGGAATTTATCCCACAGCTCTCACACCGTAAAGAGGTCAGAAGCAGTCCTATATACTTTATTTGCCCTATATACCAAATCTGCCCGATACGCATTGCGTAATAGTGGCTTTAGGCATTGTATGTACTAGCTCTATCTATATATCAATCCATTAATGTAACATCACTTGTATGTATGTATGTACCTTACCTGAATAAACATATTTATTTATTTTATTTATTTTACTTTTTTTTATTTTATGCGACTGTCATTTCACCTGCCGGAATAGCCACTGCTCTATTCTTTCTCATTTACGTCACAGAAGATAATGCTGACTGTGCAAGGGCAGTGCTAGCAGGCACCCACACAACAGAGCCCCGAATACATGCAGCTCAAAATGTAACAAGACCTGGAGAGAAAACACATGTGAAGCTTATACTAAAATAAGCGATGTCAACAAGAAGCAAATGGCTTCTGCAGGATGAACAAAGTCCAAGGTTGTCCGGCACTTAGCTGGAAGAGGTGGGGCTCGCCCATGACTCACAGACTGGAACACTACAGGCAAATCAAAACACCACCACATCACCAACAGAGCTGGCTGGTCAAGGAAGCTGGTCGAGAGTTTGTGCTGGTCTGTGGTGATCAGTGATAATGAGTTTCAAGCTAGTTCGAGTGAATCACTTGCTCTGTGTAAATTATTTGCCGAGTTATCTGATTTGAGGCATCATTTTCTGTGAATTCTCCAGTTGTCTCTAAAGCTTTGCTAAATTTCCAGATGATTTTCCTGGTATAGTGGTGAATTGTCACCCTCTCCCTGCACCTTGGAACAAGCTAAGTGAGAAGGTGTTGGAAGCCAAAACTGTAAGTAGTTTCAAAGCGTTATACTGTACAACAGAGTACTGGGAGGAAGGGACACCATGAGCGTAGCTCTCATCTTGTAACTACACTTAGGTAATTACCTCTGTGAGGGAATGCAGGTTCTGGCTCTGATCCCCAGTAGGCCATACTGAACTTCCACAACTGATGTGGCCTTGTAGTATGGAGTAATCTCAGCAAGATAGCTTAAGGAAGCCACTGGAGCTCCCCTGGAAAACTGCATATAATGATTGGAGGAATAAAGTGGTTAACTAAGAAATTAAATGTGCAGAATGCATTCATGTCATATATATATAGAAAGAGAACTGTTTTAGAAGACTTCGGGAATATTCCCTTTTATTAATCGAGGCTCTATTGTATACGGTAATTGTTTTGTGTAAGAATTAACTTGAGTATCAACGAACTGTACATATTACAGTCAACTACAAATTAGACACAGTCCATCAGTTTAAAATAATTTACAAAGCACATTACTCAAATTCAAATCAAATAAAGGCCTAGTATTAACAACAACATAGGTAGTGTGAATAACACCTGATGTTGACCAGACCACACACTAAAAGTTGAAGGGACGACGACGTTTCGGTCCGTCCTGGACCATTCTCAAGTCGATTGTGAAGAGGAGATAGAGACAGGCAATAAATAGGCAAGAGAGAGCTGAGGAGCAAAGTAAGGTGTGGGGGATAGTAGTAATGAGAACTGCAGAGGGCCTATTGGCCCATATGAGGCAGCTCCTATTTTAACCACCGAATGAGAAGGAGAAGGTAATAGGAATAAGAAGAGGATAGCAAGGGAGCGTAGGAGAAGACAATGAACAGAAAAAGGGGAGAAGAGAGAAAGAAAAGGAAAGAGAAAGAAAGAGAAATGGAAGGGGTAAGCTTATGTTAAGTCACGTTTGTTAGAAAGATTAGAGCATTTGAGTATATACTGTGAAAGGGAAGAGTCCACAGCAACAAAGCCAGGACTCAAGTTCATGTTGGGTACATTGTGTATAAGAGCCGATTCAACAAGACGGCGTCTGTGTAGAGTAGAGGCAGGAAAGATTATTTTGGAGGAAGACCAATCAATGGGATGATTAGAATCCCTCACATGGCAGAAGAGAGCATTGTTAGTGTCTGCAGACTTAACACTTCTCTTGTGTTCGTTAAGTCTGTCATTCAGTGTACGGCCAGTTTCGCCAAAGTATTGGAGAGGACAAGATGAACAGGAAATAGAGTAGACACCAGCAGCATTAGAAGCAGGAGGAGCAGTGTGAACTAGATTGCTACGAAGTGTGTTAGTTTGTCGAAAGGCGAGTTTAATGTCAAGAGGACGAAAGGTATTGGTAAAAGTTTTGAGTTCAGATATGAAGGGAAGGCATAGTACAGTGCTACTAGTGTTGGAAGCAGGTTTAGGATGAAAGAAATTTCGTTTAGCTTGAGAGTAGGCACAGTTGATGAAATGCAAAGGATAACCAAGGCGAGAGAATGATTTATAGATAAAGGCAATTTCAGAATCAAGAAACTGAGGGTCGCTGATGCGTAGAGCGCGGAGGAAGAGAGAGACGAGGACACTTTTCTTAACAGAAGGAGGATGGTAGGAAAAGAAGTGAATGTACATGCATGGGTTTACGATAGACAGAGAAAGAGAACCCAGACACAGAGCTGTGAACATGAACATCAAGAAAAGGAAGGAGGAAATTAGATTCCCACTCAACTTTGAAATGGATAGAAGGAGCCAGATTGTTAAGAGAGGCGAGGAAAGGCTGGAAAAGATTAAGGTCATGAGGCCATAAAGCAAAAATGTCATCAACATAGCGAAGCCAGAGAGAGGGACGAGTATCAATAGAAGGAAGAAGAACAGTTTCGAAGTATTCCATGTAGAAATTAGCAAGAACAGGGGAGAGAGGGGAACCCATAGCGACGCCGAAAGTTTTGAGTGTAATATTTACTGTTGAAAGAGAAAGAGTTAGAGTCAACACAGAGTCTAATGAGATCGAGGAAAACATCAGTGGGAAGCGGGAGAGGAAGGAGGCCCTCAGACGCCTTCTGTCTAAGGAAAGAGAGAACGTCATCGAGCGGAACATTAGTGAACAGAGAGTCGACATCAAGACTAAGCATCTTACAAAAGGGCTGCAGGCGCAGTCTTTCTATGAAGTCCTGAGAGTGACGAAGGTGGGCAGGGGAAAAAGTGCCAAGGTCTCCTTCTCATTCGGTGGTTATAATAGGAGCTGCCTCGTATGGGCCAATAGGCCCTCTGCAGTTCTCATTACTACTATCCCCCACACCTTACTTTGCTCCTCAGCTCTCTCTTGCCTATTTATTGCCTGTCTCTACCTCCTCTTCACAATCGACTTGAGAATGGTCCAGGACGGACCGTACCATCGTCGTCCCTTCAACTTCTAGTGTGTGGTCTGGTCAACATACTTCAGCCACGTTATTGTGACTCATCGCCTGAACACCTGTTGTATTAACAGTGAAAATTTTAACAGCACCTGCAGCCATAGTAGTAGTAAGAGCCTCTGCAGCTGTAGTAGTAGTAATAAGAGCACCTGTAGTAGTAGTAGTAGTAAGAGCCTCTGCAGCTGTAGTAGTAGTAATAAGAGCACCTGTAGTAGTAGTAGTAGTAAGAGCCTCTGCAGCTGTAGTAGTAGTAATAAGAGCACCTGTAGTAGTAGTAGTAGTAAGAGCCTCTGCAGCTGTAGTAGTAGTAAGAGCCTCTGCAGCTGTAGTAGTAGTAATAAGAGCACCTGTAGTAGTAGTAGTAAGAGCCTCTGCAGCTGTAGTAGTAGTAATAAGAGCACCTGTAGTAGTAGTAGTAAGAGCCTCTGCAGCTGTAGTAGTAGTAATAGCACCCACAGCTGTAGTAGTAGCAGTAGTAGTAACAGCACCTGCTGCAGTGTTAATGGCATCCACAGTAGAATTAACAGCTGTGGCAATCAGAGAATCTGTGAGGTATGATGTGGCGAAGTCCGTGTACTTGTGTACTGGCGACCCCTGCCATGACGACGACTCGGGGGCTGTCGGCCAACTTCTGCCGCAGCTTGGTAAGGAGATTAGTACAAATAATTAAGGTCAATTTCAACACTCACTACTACAGGCTTACAATTTTTTTCTTTTTAAATATTACTTTGCATTAATATGAATAACCCCCACACTGAAGAGAACCTTTCATGTGCTGCAAAAGGCCTAATCATTTTATAAATTGGAGAGGTAGACACAGTCAAGCAAGATGACATTTATGCACTGGTGCCATAAGGAACTTGTGAAGTGTCTGAAGAGCATTCAGTTCAGCCCAGAATAACCTCTAACTTACCAGCTGGATTGCTTGCCCACCAACAAACTGCTATTTACACAAAACAACAACAACAAAAATTCAGTGGGTAGCATTATTTTCTAATTGCTAATGCCATTGAAGTACAGAAAATGGTTATTAATCCCCTTAAATTCTGCTTTGACTTTTGCATTAGACGGCTTAGGGATGATGACTTGTTGGTTATGTGAAGGCTGCCGATTCGTTACTTAAAGAAGTGACACCGTGTCACACCCGTCTGAGGCAAAGGTTAAGGTTAAGTAATCTTGGGGAAGATGACTTGGAGGTTACATGAAGGCTGCCGACTCATTACCTAGAGCAGTGATACTGTGTCACACCATGTAGTCCCTTCAAGTATTTCCCTCATGCAAGCCTCATGTTTGTTTCCCTCATGTTTCCTCGTACATTTGCAGGGCCCCTGTAGTACAATAGGTATGCTCTCGAATCTCAATCAAGGACTCCCAAATTGGATGGAAATGGTTGGAAAAGTTTCCTTTTACACACTGACTCCATTCAACCAGCAGTAAATAGCTACCCAGGAGATAAGCAACTGATGTGGGGGCTGCATCCCGGTGGAAGTCCCAGTAGTTCAATCTCAGTGGGATTCTGTACACGTATTACACAGGCTTCCTGTCCCTATCAACACAAACTATTATATTGAGGCTGGAGACCACTGCACCACATGAAAGACAAAAATGATTTTATCCTCACCATTGCACCACTTTGGCGCCCAAAGAGCACTGTGATGCCATGGTGGCAGAGGCGGGCTGGAGATCCAGCTTCCTAACCTTTACTGCACCACTTGTCTCCATTCTCAGCCTTGCGTCTTCCAAGCTCCTAGAAAATATAGGAATGATAATGTGTCTGTGTGGAGTGTGAGGGGGGAGTGTGTCTGTGTGGAGTGTGAGGGGGGAGTGTGGTTGTGTGGAGTGTGAGGGGGGAGTGTGGTTGTGTGGAGTGTGAGGGGGGAGTGTGTCTGTGTGGAGTGTGAGGGGGGAGTGTGTCTGTGTGGAGTGTGAGGGGGGAGTGTGTCTGTGTGGAGTGTGAGGGGGGAGTGTGTCTGTGTGGAGTGTGAGGGGGGAGTGTGGTTGTGTGGAGTGTGAGGGGGGAGTGTGGTTGTGTGGAGTGTGAGGGGGGAGTGTGTCTGTGTGGAGTGTGAGGGGGGAGTGTGTCTGTGTGGAGTGTGAGGGGGGAGTGTGTCTGTGTGGAGTGTGAGGGGGGAGTGTGTCTGTGTGGAGTGTGAGGGGGGAGTGTGTCTGTGTGGAGTGTGAGGGGGGAGTGTGTCTGTGTGGAGTGTGAGGGGGGAGTGTGGTTGTGTGGAGTGTGAGGGGGAATGTGTCTGTGTGGAGTGTGAGGGGGGAATGTGGTTGTGTGGAGTGTGAGGGGGAATGTGGTTGTGTGGAGTGTGAGGGGGGAATGTGTCTGTGTGGAGTGTGAGGGGGGAGTGTGGTTGTGTGGAGTGTGAGGGGGGAATGTGTCTGTGTGGAGTGTGAGGGGGGAATGTGTCTGTGTGGAGTGTGAGGGGGGAATGTGTTTGTGTGGAGTGTGAGGGGGGAATGTGTCTGTGTGGAGTGTGAGGGGGGAATGTGGTTGTGTGGAGTGTGAGGGGGGGAGTGTGGTTGTGTGGAGTGTGAGGGGGGAGTGTGGTTGTGTGGAGTGTGAGGGGGGAGTGTGGTTGTGTGGAGTGTGAGGGGGGATGTGGTTGTGTGGAGTGTGAGGGGGAGTGTGGTTGTGTGGAGTGTGAGGGGGGAGTGTGGTTGTGTGGAGTGTGAGGGGGGAGTGTGGTTGTGTGGAGTGTGAGGGGGGAGTGTGGTTGTGTGGAGTGTGAGCTTATCACAAGAACAGAATTTCATAGAGCCTGAGGAGCTCAGAGCTGCAGGTTCAATCACATCACATGGCTTCAGTATTTTCCTTTGGTTGCATATTTATGCTTGGTGTACCATTTGATTTGTTATTGTATTACTACATTTCTCTCTGGGCCTCTCTCCTGGTAGGCAAGAGTGGGTCTCGGAGGACTGGTGAACCTCTTTAGGACTTGGCCGAAATAGAGCTTACCTCTGGGAGTCAGCGAGGACTACCTCAATGAAAATGAGAAAGCCCTTCAACGTAAAACTCAGAAGTCACATTCCCTAGTGACGTAGTGGTAACACACTCGCCCCCACACCCAGTAAGCAATCTGGTCTAGGTTCGTGTCCTGGCCAGGAAGAATTGACTGGATGCCAATCCTTAACTGTTGGCCCTTGATCATCCAGCTGTAATTGGGTACATGTTTGTAAACCGACTGTCAAAGTGCGCTTCAGGAAAAACTAGTATGGCAAGGCTTACCCTGAAATATGGAAAGGAAAAGCTTTCAGTCTTAACAGCAGTCACAAAGTCTCTCTCCCTGTACTGTCTTGTGTTAACAAAAATTTAACAAACCTTTTTAAGGAAGTGATGGGAGCCTTAAAGACAGGAACAACGTGTCGTCGCAATTTCCTCTTTCTCTTCAACTTCCACGATGAATCAATTTTCCAGAAGCAAGCTTTGCCCAGAGAACGTTCCAGTTTGATGAATTTATCGCATCTTGAGAGGTTACGATGAATGGATCTCTGAGAAGGACAAGCAAATCAATACCACACACTATCTACACTCTTTTGTCAAGGGGGTCTGAAATGGATAACTTTGTGAGGTCAGTTAGTGGGTAGAACACATACCAACAATGTGAGAACTAATATACACGTGTTCAAAACCAACAGTGCCTGGAGTGTACCTGGATGGTTCTGAGAGTTCTTCTACTCCTCAAGTCCAGTTACTCTACATAATGAACATTACACTATTTTCTAGGTTTTGAATTTCTTCTGTAATTTATCCAGTTAAAACAAATCAAAATCATGCACAAATACAGAGTATATTCGACATTCATGAACCAGACTTTCCGACTAATTCATATACTGCCACATTTCCGCAACACAAGTTAAAACAAAAAACCAGCGTTGAATGTAATGAAACGCCATTTTCTGGGTGAGACCCGGAGGCTCCCCGGAGCTTTACCGGCTGATATGCTAATGTCAGACTTTGGCATCAGTCATGTGTATGGAGTTCTAGGGCCTACCGGGGACCACGAGCCAGAACCTGGCCCCCTCAGAGAGGCAAGGGGAGCAATGGCCTATAGAAACCCCCGTGTGGTTGGAAGCATTCTATGTCTGCCATCGACCGGGTCAAGCATCCAGAAAGGTAAGCATTCCAAAACAAACCCCTATTCTGGTGAAAATTGCTACCTAAGCCGAACTAGTGAATAGAACTCTTCAACAGAAAACAAGGAAACTAGTATGACGTCATACGTCACCGCGCCGCTGTCTGCGCAGCTCCCCCCTCCCCGGGAGGGGGAAGGGGGAGCCCCAGACCTCCCACGCCGGCTATCCACCCATCAGTTCTGAGGCTGGATGTCAAAACACGCGAAAAACGCCGACCGGAGGGAGGGAGGGTTGCCGGGGAGCCTCCGGGTCTCACCCAGAAAATGGCGTTTCATTACATTCAACGCTGGTTTTCTGGGGGGAGCCCCGTCGGCTCCCCGGAGCTAACTACCCACAGAGGAAGGTCAAAGGGACAAAACCGGGAGGCGGACACCACGCACCCCCCAAGGAGGCTAGACAACCGGCAGCAAACGCCAACCCAAGGCGCCACAGCCCCGAAAATCCCGGGAACAACACGAGAACCACGAGCAGCAAGGCCCCTGCACGAACACCAAAAATCCATGCCCGAAAGACCGCAAGGCCACGTCGCCCAGACGGCAGCGAGAGCAGCAAAGCCACGAACGGCACAGACATGAGGGAAGAACACAGGCAGCTTATAGCATCAGCCGAAGAACTGATGGGTGGATAGCCGGCGTGGGAGGTCTGGGGCTCCCCCTTCCCCCTCCCGGGCAGGGGGGAGCTGCGTAGACAGCGGCGCGGTGACGTATGACGTCATACTAGTTTCCTTGTTTTCTGTTGAAGAGTTCTATTCACTAGTTCGGCTTAGGTAGCAATTTTCACCAGAATAGGGGTTTGTTTTGGAATGCTTACCTTTCTGGATGCTTGACCCGGTCGATGGCAGACATAGAATGCTTCCAACCACACGGGGGTTTCTATAGGCCATTGCTCCCCTTGCCTCTCTGAGGGGGCCAGGTTCTGGCTCGTGGTCCCCGGTAGGCCCTAGAACTCCATACACATGACTGATGCCAAAGTCTGACATTAGCATATCAGCCGGTAAAGCTCCGGGGAGCCGACGGGGCTCCCCCCAGAAAAGGGCTGTAACTTAGCAACAATGAACCCACAATAGATGATTAACTCCCAAGATCTATTAACTGGTAGGTGAACAGAGGCTCCAGACCAAAGGAAATTCACATGAACATCTCTGTCCTGCCATGGTAATCTAACCAGAGACCATTCAATTACAAGTCAACTGTACTACACGTAAATTACGTACAGTGTTGCCACATTTCAATCACAACTAATTTAAAATGATCAACTTAGTTTTCAAAAGACTGCAAATTTGGCATTTCAGCAATAACAAAATTTAAAAAATTTGAGTATAACTATACTTCAATAAAATATAGCTAAATTTGCTTTTTATAATATAAAACATTCAATTAATAATACCCATATGATAATTGCCATGAACTTAAGGAATTCACATGCTGTATAAATGCCACTCTGGGCATCTCTCGAAGCAAGCCATAAGTTACTCACTTAAGACAACATAAAGTTATTCCCAGTACCTACAGGTATACCTGGTTGATACCTGGTTGATGGGGTTCTGAGAGTTCTTCTACTCCCGAAGCCCGGCCCGAAGCCAAGCTTGACTTGTGAGAGTTTGGTCCACCAGGCTGTTGCTTGGAGCAGCCCGCAGGCCCACATAGCCACCACAACCCGGTTGGTCCGGCACTCCTTAGAGAAAATGATCTAGTTTTCTCTTGAAGATGTCCACGGATGTTCCGGCATAAATCAACAACAGTCTAAGAATTGAGAAGAGTATGGGCCCCACTATGTCCTTACTACTCCAACAATCCTAATTATATTCCAACTCTACCTAATCTATGAAATGTTGCATTTTATGTACTGTACATGTTTTTGCATTAGGTGTCTTATGCCAATATGACATCATAATTTTAGTGCTGATACAGATTTAAGAGATCATACTTTTCATTTTAGCCTGCCCAGTGTAACTTTTGAGCCGTGATGTAGCAGGGGTCGTAGCACGAGCTGGAGCACGACCAACACCACCACAACAGCCACCTACATCACCCATGCTTAAAATCAGTCACTGAACTTGCTCCAGGTGATGCTTCATGGATCTTTTTAGATATGATGACCAAAACCACACATCAGAAAATGGAGAAACGACAACGTGTCAGTCCGTCCTGGACCATTATCAAGTCGTGTGCACTTGTTTAGATATGCTCGACTACTGGTAGTTTTAAAGATTTAGTGACAAATTTTCTCCATTTCACTCATGCACCCCCTGAAGATGGGTCTTCAATTTAGATCCCAATAATAGACCGTCAAATGGAGCAAGCTCGGAGCCAGATTCTAAGCCTTCCCGGCGTAGGTGACAATAGTTCTAATGTAGGTCATGCTTCAGCTCCTAGTTCATGCGGTTATTCTGGACCTGTCCTCGTATCCTTTACAAGTACAGTGGAACCTCGGGTTACGAGCGTCCGTTTACAAGCCCGACTTGTTCGGAAAATTTGCATTTGGATACGAGCATTGCATCGGGTTACGAGTTTGTTGATACGCGTACGGGCCGACCTAGCGCCTGGTGGCACGACGATTGCGCCTCAGTTTACCAGTTCCTCGCGCCTAGTGACTATCACGCCTGAATTCTTCACAAGGATTTACAGTTTTTTGTCGGATTTTTGGCCATTTGAGCATAAAAGTTGTTATTATATATCTCGCCATGGGTCCCAAGAAAGCCAGTGGTAAGGTTCAAGGCAAGAAATCACATGTGAGGATGACAATAGAGGAAAAACAAGAGATCATTCGTAAGCATGAAAATGATACTCGTGTTGTTGAACTAGCTTGGCAGTACAACAAATCTTCAGGGGAGGAAGAGGAGGCAGTAGAGAATGTCCCTTCCTCATTAAGAAAATGTGTGCAGTATGGGAAGGACTGCAAAGTTTTGCTGAAAAGAATTGCCCAGATAAAGCTGTAGTAGGCCGTTGCATTGATCATTTTAATGACACTGTGATGCCTCACTACAGACAAGTGTTGCAAAGAAGGAAAAAACAATCTTCAATGGAATGTTTCCTTGTTAGAAAAGTGAGAAAATCAAGCAGTGAGCCACAACCAGGACCTAGTGGTATGCAGGCAAAACGTGCCAGAGAATGCACTCCAAATAAATCTTCACTACCTGATGTGATAATGGAAGGGGACTTCCCTTCCAAACAGTAACACCTCTCCTCCTCCCTCCTCCTCACCATCTTCCATACGCCAACAGCAGTCATCAGTAAGGGTAAGTAATAACTTGAACATACTTTTGCAGTGTAGATTTACATGAATTGGGTATAAAATTTAGTTTGAAGTGAGGTTTTTGGGTAGTCAGGAACGGATTAATTCATTTCCCATTATTTCTTGTGGGGAAATTATCTTCGGTTTACGAGTTTTCGGGTTACGAGCTGTCTCCAGGAACGGATTAAACTCTTAAACCAAGGTACCCCCTGTACTATATACAGTAGTTGCACTAACTCATCACTTTTTCCTATCCCATCCCAAATCCTTATCCTGACCACTTCCAATTTTTTTTTTTTTTTTTTTTTTTTTTTTTTTTTTTTTTTTTTTTTTTTGAGATATATACAAGAGTTGTTACATTCTTGTACAGCCACTAGTACGCGTAGCGTTTCGGGCAGGTCCCTGGAATACGATCCCCTGCCGCGAAGAATCGTTTTTTCATCCAAGTACACATTTTACTGTTGCGTTAAACAGAGGCTACAGTTAAGGAATTGCGCCCAGTAAATCCTCCCCGGCCAGGATACGAACCCATGACATAGCGCTCGCGGAACGCCTATATAGTCGAAATGCTCCTCCCCCCCCCTTATCTCAGCACTTTTTCTGCACAATTATCTTCCGCCAATACTTATAATACAAAATCTTTCAGCAACACAGTACAGTAATTATATATTAGTACACAGTATTTTATTCACCAATATGCTAAATCCAGTTTAGTTGAATTGGTGTTAATGCTTCAGTGAGTGGAGTGGCCTAAAGGTTAATTAAGTACAATAAATTCATTTTATTACCTTCCATCTTTTGGCATCTGATTGGAAATATGGATATTTCTTTGTGATATATGAATATATACCCCTCAGTGTACGCTGTTTGTTTGGAGACGAAGAAATTGCTTGTGAAATCAGCTGACTATAAGAAAATGGTGGCCTTTTGTAAATCTGGCGACAGAAAATAAAAAAAAAACAATCAGAATGCATTACAGGGCTATAATCTGACTGTAAAAATATATTCCAAAACATAGATTAATGTTTTGATCTGATGGGGGGGAAATAATCTGCACCTTCCATGACAAAAGTTTTCAACATTGATTTATTTTTTATAAATTATCAAAAATGCCAGACAACAAAATTAGGAATAAGAATTTCTGTGGGATATTCCCATCCAACAGGCCACCATCACGCTCCACAGCACACACCACCAACACACTCCACCACAAGCACCCCAACACTCTCCACGGCACGCACCACCAACACTCCACGGCACGCACCACCAACACTCCACGGCACGCACCACCAACATGCACCACCACACGCACCACCACACGCACCCTAACACACTGATAAATTAACATATCATATCTGATATCATTAACAGATGATAAATGCATATAGTCCACCGCCAAGCAGCACATGGTCAAAGGAGGAGCTAGATAGTAAACGTGAAGGTCTTATAACAATAATGAGAGAGATTATAGCGAGAGCGGATAACGATAGATCACGACTGTTGATAGTCGGTGACTTCAACTTGAAATCCATAGACTGGGAAGCATATGAAGCTAAAACAGAAGATTTTTGGACCTGTAAATTTGTAGACCTCATCCTGGAAACATTCTTGTATCAACATGTTAAACAAGCTACGAGGATGAGGGAAGGGGACGTTCCCTCCATGCTAGATTTGATATTTACCAGGAAGGAGGAAGAGATATTTGACATTCAGTACCTTCCTCCCTTGGGTAAAAGTGACCATGTCTTTTTGGGAATAAAGTATGCAATGCGTTATAAGCTGAAAGAAAATAAGGAGGTTGAAGCAGTTGAAAAACCAGACTTCAGGAGAGGACATTATGGTGACCTTAGAAATTTTTTAGTGAGTATAATTGGACAGACTTGATGCTAGGCAAGGAAGTGAATGAGATGTATGGCAAGTTTTGTGAAATATATGATAAAGGCACAAAAAAATTTATACCAAAACAGAGATGCAGAACTAGGAAACAGGATTGGTTCAATAGAAATTGCGAGAGGGCTAGAGACCGAAAGACACAAAAATGGAATCAATACAGGAAGAGGCCGAACCCCCAAACATACCAGCGATACAAAGATGCGAGAAACAACTACACGGCAGTGAGGAGAGAGGCAGAAAGAAATTTTGAAAAAGGGATTGCGGACAAATGTAAAACAGAACCAGGTCTATTCTATAAATTCATAAACAAGAAATTGCAGGTAAAGGATAATATTCAGAGGTTGAAAATGGGAAATAGATTCACGGAAGATGAAAAGGAAATGTGTGAAACACTAAACGAAAAGTTCCAAAGTGTGTTTGTACAAAATGAAATCTTTAGGGAACCAGATACAATAAGAATTCCAGAGAACAACATAGAACACATAGAGGTGGCTAGAGACGAAGTGGAAAAAATGCTCAAGGAGCTCGGTAAGAAGAAAGCAGCTGGCCCAGATGGCGTTTCACCATGGGTTCTGAGAGAATGTGCATCTGAGCTCAGCATTCCACTTCACCTGATCTTTCAGGCATCCCTGTGTACAGGAATCGTAGCAGACGGGTGGAAACAGGCTAACATAGTTCCAATCTACAAAAGTGGCAGCAGGGAAGACCCCCTCAATTATAGACCTGTATCATTGACAAGTGTAATAGTGAAAGTATTGGAAAAACTAATCAAAACTAAATGGGTAGAACACCTAGAGAGAAATGATATAATATCAGACAGACAGTATGGTTTTCGATCTGGAAGATCCTGTGTATCGAATTTACTCAGTTTCTATGATCGAGCCACAGAGATATTACAGGAAAGAGATGGTTGGGTTGACTGCATCTATCTGGACCTAAAAAAGGCTTTCGACAGAGTTCCACATAAGAGGTTGTTCTGGAAACTGGAAAATATTGGAGGGGTGACAGGTAAGCTTCTATCATGGATGAAAAATTTTCTGACTGATAGAAAAATGAGGGCAGTAATCAGAGGCAATGTATCAGAATGGAGAAATGTCACAAGTGGAGTACCACAGGGTTCAGTTCTTGCACCAGTGATGTTTATTGTGTACATAAATGATCTACCAGTTGGTATACAGAATTATATGAACATGTTTGCTGATGATGCTAAGATAATAGGAAGGATAAGAAATTTAGATGACTGTCATGCCCTTCAAGAAGACCTGGACAAAATAAGTATATGGAGCACCACTTGGCAAATGGAATTTAATGTTAATAAATGTCATGTTATGGAATGTGGAATAGGAGAACATAGACCCCACACAACCTATATATTATGTGAGAAATCTTTAAAGAATTCTGATAAAGAAAGAGATCTAGGAGTGGTTCTAGATAGAAAACTATCACCTGAGGACCACATAAAGAATATTGTGCAAGGAGCCTATGCTATGCTTTCTAACTTCAGAATTGCATTTAAATACATGGATGGCGATATACTAAAGAAATTGTTCATGACTTTTGTTAGGCCAAAGCTAGAATATGCAGCTGTTGTGTGGTGCCCATATCTTAAGAAGCACATCAACAAACTGGAAAAGGTGCAAAGACATGCTACTAAGTGGCTCCCAGAACTGAAGGGCAAGAGCTACGAGGAGAGGTTAGAAGCATTAAATATGCCAAAACTAGAAGACAGAAGAAAAAGAGGTGATATGATCACTACATACAAAATAGTTACAGGAATTGATAAAATCGACAGGGAAGACTTCCTGAGACCTGGAATTTCAAGAACAAGAGGTCATAGATTTAAACTAGCTAAACACAGATGCCGAAGAAATATAAGAAAATTCACCTTCGCAAATAGAGTGGTAGACGGTTGGAACAAGTTAAGTGAGAAGGTGGTGGAGGCCAAGACCGTCAGTAGTTTCAAAGCATTATATGACAAAGAGTGCTGGGAAGACGGGACACCACGAGCGTAGCTCTCATCCTGTAACTACACTTAGGTAATTACACTTAGGTAATTACACTCCATGAAATTATGTCAAGTCCGGACTGCCACAATTAGCTTCCACACATTCCACTAAAGAAAACAGTTAAAACGACTAATGTTAACATGATTCAGATAACATTAAAGCCTCGACATACCTCGGCCACGTCACCAGGACTGTGCTGGGGGCCAGAAGAGCTGAGCAAGGTGGAGTCGTCAGCCTCGTCACCCCGGGTGTGGCACGTGTCACGATGGAGGTAGTGTGAGGGAACGTGTCTACCATCTCCTGCACCTGCAGGAGTCTTGCCTTGGGGAGGGAGGTGATGATATTGCTGAGTTGATGCTGTCAAGTTCGATTGATTTTCATCATGTGTTGTTGGTGCTATCACTGTAGAGATGGAAAAATGTGTGTTAAATTTACTTTCTCTTAACTGCAACGATTATACAAGAGCACCCTGATATTACACAGGGATGCATTCCTGGGGATATCATATAGAATCAAATAATGTAAATATCAGCCTTAGAATAAGAATGACTTCAATCGTATCACTAAATATGGCCACCGGTTGCTTCTCGAGGCTAACAATTAAAGGGCGAGAACTCTTAGGGCTACGTATCTCTAGTGGCCTTGACAGGGACAGGAAGTCAGTGGCTTGTCAAAGGTCACCTATTGTTAACAAGGATTTTTTCCAACATGCGACCGTGCATGTTTATGGACCATGAGCAACAGGCCTTCCAGCTTGCAGCCCACAAGTCTTGTGGCTCCCCTCCACACACACAAGCATGGCCACATTCTGGCCACACAAGTGACACATCAACTAGATGAACAACTAGATGAATACAATTGCTGTATTCACTTGTATATACCTGTGGCATCAGCTGGCATATTCTTGACGGGTATATTCATGGCCGACGTGTTGAAGTTGCTGATGTCCATCAGGGATGACGACAGAACTAGCCATGAGCACCCTGCCGAACCAGTCCCCAGTAAGGAACCAAACGGGTATACCCAGCTAAATAACAAGGCAAATGTAAACTAAACCGCCTTGCCAAAGACTCACTGGTGACACCTGCTCACTAACTGTAGGGCAGGCACCAGCTACCCACACCACATACAGGGTAGCTATACCCCTGGCGGAGCAGGAGTCAGGTGCCCTACACAAATCCACAGGAGCCTCCAGGACCCTCCAACACCTCTCCACAAATTCGCCTCCGGGCACCAGCTCTACACCGCAGGAACAAACCGCCAGGACGTAACCCTGAGGGCATCAAATGCCACGCATTCATGCCCTGGCTCAATCCCCCCTCTCCCACAAGCCCAATTAGATGAACATTTAAGTAAAGTCAGCCTTTATGGCGAGCCTTAGGCGAGGCACAAACCAGGAGCCAGGTGTCCACTCGGCGCCAACATTATTTTAATGTCCTCTGGCACAATTGGTGACTATTTTGACATTCAGAGCTGATTCTTGCATTACAGGAGCTGTGTCTAGATCTTTCGTGCCTATTGGAACGTGTAGTTTGCGAGAGGACTTGATTGATTGACTGATAAAGATTACGAGACCCGTGAACAGGGCGAGAGGAGGTCCACCTTATGGCTCCCAGTGTTGTTGTTGGTGGGTCGGGGGCAGCTACAGCACTCCCTCATCTCCCACCAACTTTAGATTTACATTTAAATTTTTTATTCAGGTAAATGTACATATAATGAAGATGAGTTTTAAACATAATGTTGGATTTAAAGATAGAGCTAGTACATACACTACCTAAAGTCACTAATATGCATAGCGTTTCGGGCAAGGTGAGGTTGGGGGGGGGGGGGAAACTTAGACTAAAACTTAATAGTAATTGGGATTTAAAGTATAAATTCTGTTGAAAAATAAAAAAAGGGGGGAACATGGCAGAAAATAGCAATTATACAAGTTGGTCAATAAACGGCATTGTTTACAATAGTAAGACATGGGTTGACATTATAAATAAATAATAAATAAATAAATAAAGGGGTATAGGGGTAAGGAAGGTTACATGAGATAATTAGGTAGTGTTTAGTTTTTATCTTAAACTGGTTGAGAGAGGTACAGTCTTTAACATGGTTGGGAAGGTCATTCCACATTCTGGGCCCCTTGATTTGTAGAGCATTTCTAGTTTGATTAAGTCGTACTCTAGGAATATCAAAACTGTATTTGTTTCTGGTGTGGTGCTCATGGGTTCTGTTACAACCTTCAATGAAGCTTTTGAGGTCAGGATTGGCATTACAGTTTAGCGTTTTATATATGTATAATACACAAGAGAGAATGTGCAGTGACTTAATGTCTAACATATTCAGAGATTTGAGTAGGGGTACTCAGTGATGTCTGGGGCCAGAGTTGGATATTGTCCTAATAGCAGCTTTGTGTTGAGTAATTAGAGGACGTAAATGATTTTGGGTAGTAGAACCCCAAGCACAAATACCATAGTTGAGATATGGATAGATGAGGGAGTAATAGAGTCACCAGGGCAGGGCGAGGTACATAATATCTGATCTTAGAAAGAATGCCAACAGTTTTAGAAACTTTTTTTGATATATTTAGAATGTGTCCCTGGAAATTCAGCTTGTGGTCGATGAGAACACCAAGGAATTTGCCATCAACTTTGTTACTAATTTGGATATTGTTTATTCTTAGATTAATTTGATTTGATTCATTTGAGGATTTTTTACCAAACAGAATATAGAAAGTTTTGTCAATGTTAAGGGTGAGTTTGTTGGCAGTTAGCCAAAGATGGACTTTATTTAGCTCTTATTTAGCTTTATTTAGTAAATACTGAGCCTGTCAGCTCAGTATTTACTGTGACATTTAGAGCAAGGGGGTCAGGACTGGAGTAAATGAAGGTTGTGTTGTCAGCAAATAGGATTGGTTTGAGGTGTTGTGAGGCATTTGGAAGGTCATTAATGTAGATGAGAAAGAGGAGAGGGCCAAGTATGCTGCCCTGAGGAACACCAATGTTGATGGGTCGGGTGGGAGAAATTGAATTATTCACAGAAACATACTGGAGCCTGTCAGTAAGGTAAGATTTGAGGTATTGTAGGGAGTGTCCTCTGACTCCATAATGATGTAATTTAAGAAGAAGGTTTTGGTGGTTGACAGTGTCAAAAGCCTTACGCAGTTCCACAAATAACCCAACAGGGAACTCATTTTTATCAAGAGCTGCATGTATCAAGTTAATCATACTAATAAGTGCATCGTTAGTGCTTTTTTTTGGGTCTGAAGCCATTGTAACACGGGTTAGGGTTCCTCTCTCTCTCTACTTCTCTTATCTTTCCTTCTTTTCCCTCTCTACCCGTATTCTTACTTTTTATTCTCTACCAAGGGACTCCAAAACTTTTACCAAAGCCAACTCCACGCCACGTGGTCCTAAGACGATTGACCGACTTAGGATTCTACACCCAGCATGACGTGACCTAGGCTTTGAGCAAAACCCTAGAGTCGCCTCTACGCTGCCACCACCAGACCAGCAACACCGAGCAATGATCGAGGTCTGGATCGATCACGCTAATTAATCAACCTTGGGGCTTGATCCCCACTATAACCGATGACCGTGGAAACTTAAGAGTGTGAAATTAATTACACGGGAATGATTCGATGTTAGAATCGGCGCCCAATCCAACTCTGCCTCGTGTGGACCACGTGACCAGGACAAGTATACATAACACATGGAAATAATAAAATGCAAAATACTAACAAATTTAATTTATTAAAAGAAAAACTAAAACAAAATCTAAATATGTTCACTCCCTGTCACTTTAACACTCCCTACTTGACCTGAATGCAATGAGACTATCTCTATACATAACCATAGCAACTATACCTTGGGCAACCAGCTAAAGATGTTGGGCTGGTCTTGGGGAGAGGTAAGATGGATTGACCTCTCCCAGTTGCTCTGGACGCCACACTGCTCTCTTCCTCGTCTGGCCTAGCCCAGGCTAGAGCATTGTAACCTTCCGCCTAGTCAAAGTTTCACCAAGTTACTAGCAAGGTTTAAGTTATAACAATTAACCTCTGTTTGTACTGAATTGATCCAGACTGGTTGAATTATTTTACTGAAATTAAATTACACAAACATCTAACGGCAGAGCTGTTCCCGATCCCCCAAAATGGTTAATTGAACTTTGAGAAATAGTAGACCTGTCAACCCTGATGACCTATGACCGCCGGTCACTCCGCCTTACAAGTTAGATCTGATTCGTGACGTCACTGATGGTGACTTAAACTCAATAATTAGAATACTCTTGATATTGTATCCAGTACTATTATACAATACAATTTTAATGCAAAATGAATATAGGCTAATTTTCTCTAAATTACTGAATACTATAGGATGGTTCATTATACAAAACTATGAACAAAGATGCCCGCCATTTGTGACTCAGACCTGCTAATTCCCAGGGGACTGGGCGTTGAGAGGTCAGGTCCCTACTCTTCTGGAACCTTCTGGATAATTCTTACAACAGCCTAGTTTGTTACAACCCCCCCGCACAAGCACTTAGTAAACCTTGTTAATTTGTTAAAAATCACGAGGTTTAGTATCCAAACCCACAATTCAACTCATGCCACAAACAAAAGCTAACCTAACTAATAAAATTTGACAAATAATAGTCCAACATCATAATAAACATGTTCACATTTCATAAATTTCTCAGCTGTCAACTGACAGCAATCCTCTAACATCAGGAAACATACATCCTATCCTTACTGACATAGCTAAATAACATGTCCCTACTCTACCATCAAAGACTAGCTATTAAACTCTCTTGGCTCTTCACTAGCCAAGTCCATGTGTCCTCTAGAGCCGGCCACACCGTGCTCAAACAAACATTAAAGTTATAACTTCAGACTGAACTTTCAGTCATCCGGGAGCGTACTACGGAACTATCAAGTTCACATCCGTGTACTAACCACTCCCCATCAATGTCAACCTTGACATGTTAAGGAACACACCTAATGTTTATTACATGTATCTAAAAATATAAAAAAATTCCTATACTATATCACAGGTTTCAGCTGACTGTACAGCCAAGTGTTCTCACTCACTAGAAGTGTCAATGTTTATATTGGTCCGCCTCTCCTGTGTTCAACCATTCTGCAAAAAATAGCACAACATAATTTTCCATAACCGTTTGTTCTGGGCTGAGACAATTACACAGGGGCTTCGATTTTGATTACTGACCAATTTATAGAGTTAAATTTTCATATATTATACCAGAATTATTTAAAATCTGTTTTTCAACATTTAAACAAAAGTGTCCAGATATTCTTTACACAGATGTTCAGAGCCAACTTTGTTGTTTTGTATCAATTGTTCATATTGAGTAAACGAGAAAAAAAATCGATGCTGCTGGATGCTGAATGTAGTCGCTGACGATGACGGTGTCGATCTTGCTTCTCCCCATGTGTAGACATCAATACCTTGTCCTCTTGTACTCCCATCCGGTACTCCTGAATGACGACAGAGTGTAGTAGAGCTGAGTGCCAAGTGACAGCTGTAGAATACTGTTACTTCGGCCATTAATCTTGCTCTCGACAGTCCACACGCCTTCGTATCAATCACAGTTCACACGGCAGTCTTGATGTTAAACTTGACGTCGCAGATGACCACAGCAGAGCAGGACTGGATGTACCAACGGTGTCTCTTAGCAGGAGTGGTGTCAGAAGGTCGTAGAGGCGGGTTGCTTGTTTGCAGAACAGGTGAATCTCGTCTTCCATCATTGCTCACGTCATCTCCGGCGTTTCTTGATGTCACCAGGTTACTAGGCCGTAAACACCAACTGTGTATACCCTCGTACCGCCGACTTTAGGCCAAAGGAAACAATTTTGCGACCTTCTATTGGCGAGTCCCGGTACTCTGTAGGGAAACCGTGCCTTCCACCTGTGACCGCCTTACTTCCGCTTTCGTGTTACTTCAGATGACGTAATCATTAATCTTCCGGCGAAATTCTTGAGTACTGCTACGTGCTTTCCATTTCTTGACCTCTCCTCCAACACTGCTGGAATGGCTGCAGTCTTGATGACGCAGCAGGTGGGTAGTGGTGATCTCGAGACAGCTACCCCGGCGTTGTATGGCACCTCCGATGACTGCTATAATGTGGACAGCTCGCTGGCCCTGACAACCTCGTTAGTGACGTGAGGCGTCGGCCGGGTGACTCTTGGACAGTCACTCATCCCCAAAGTAACTGATGTATGGGTTACTGGGTCTGGTGGGGGGAGGGCTTTGTGTAACGTGCCTCCCCCCTCGGTCTTTACAGACAAGGGTTCACGTGTGGCTGGAACAACTGGGTCGGTGTACCAATCAGACCTGGGAACAGACAGACACAACACAGTGGAAGCATAGATATACTCTGGGTTTGGTGGAGGTGGAACCCCAGAGCACGGTAAAAGTTGCTACCTGAGTTAAGTATAGACATAGTACACCTCATTGCCTTTACAGGAAAATCTAATGAATACTAAATTATACTAACCAAGGACAAAGATGCCCGCCATTTGTGACTCAGACCTGCTAATTCCCAGGGGACTGGGCGTTGAGAGGTCAGGTCCTACACGACTTCTGGAACCTTCTGGATAATTCTTACAACAGCCTAGTTTGTTACACCATATTGGCAAGAGCTAAGTATATTGTGTTTGGCTAGATATGAGTAAAGCTGCTTGTAGATTAGCTTTTCAAATATTTTTGACAAGGTTGGCAGAATAGATATAGGTCTGTAATTATTGACATCAGTGAGATCACCACATTTGTGGACTGGGGTTACTCGCGCTTTTTTTTTTTTTTAGAATATCCGGAAAGGTTTGGAGTTCAAGTGATTTTTTGAAGAGCAATGCAATGGCAGGAGCTAGAAATCTGGAGACTTAAATTAATTCACAGGATATATATACACCGAGAGATGTAGCCTGCTTCTCTGAGTATATACACTGAGAATATATCCACTAAAGTATACTTGCTGGTTGGTCAGTAGCCTCAATAACCTTCCAGAGGTTGATAGGGCTTAATCCCGACATCAAACACTCAAATTAGTTCATTAATGTTATTAGTAATTTTTTTAATTATTTAATGGTTATGTTAATATTAGGATTATTATAAATATTTGTATAATATTTTAAATGTTAATTATATGTTTTTGGTTTAGGCTCGTACTGACGCCCAGTTAAGGCTCGTAGTGCTTAACTCATGACGTCTGTTTGTTTTGGTTGCCAGAGATGCCGAGTCGTCGCTCAAGGCAGCAACTCAAACAACTTTAAGCAACTTTATGCGAATTTCAGCAAGTTTTGAGCGGTGTTGGAAGGCAGATGAAGGTGACAGCGACGAGGAGGCGAAGATAAGAGCAACGTGAAGAGTCGGTCGGCCGAGAACTCCGGTCCTGTGGAGGAGTTTGGGGCCCCAGGTAGCGTCGCTGTCTCTCTTGGGGGTGTTATCTCTTAGGGGTGTATTACAGGTACTTTGCACAAGCATAGACGAATTAGGGGCTTAATATGGACATGAAAGGTGGTTTGTCCGTAGTCAGGGGCAGGAGCCCTGTTATGCTGCTGAAGATCCTCTTAAGCTAGCAACTGACCTTCGTATGAGGCAACCCTCAACGGTTGTCTGTCTCACAGGTATATAGCCTTTTACTGGTTGGTAAACGGAGGCATCAGGTGTAACAAAATGTCCACACGTGCCAGTACTATGCTGGAAGTGAACCCCTGACTTGTGACAGCAGATTGCACTGTCAACTGAATTATGCGACAATTGATTACGCTCCACTGTTCACTATTTCGGTTCCAGGACAGGTTATCCCATTTCCCGTTGTCATTTTTTCCCACCTCGGCCATGCTTTTCTGTACTTTCTGAATGATTACTGAGACTTCACAAATTATGAGGGTGAAATACTCTCGTACACCCATTGAAATGGGTACAGTTGGATTCATTCTCAATTCACAGTTGAGAATCTGGGGTTCGAATCTCCAGTGGTACACAAATGGTTGGGCATGTTTGCTTTCACTTAATGCATCTATTCACCTAGCAGTAAATAGATACCCGGGAATTAGTCAACTGTTTTAGGGTTGCATCCTGGGGAAGGTCGGTAATTTGACCTTGTGGGGGAGGACCTCAATACAAGCCTAAAATATGTATATACACAGGCAGCCTGGCCCAGACAAAACAAATTATTTTAATTATAGTAATATTTTAGTAATGCATAAACATCTCAATTTTCGTTTTGTTAAATATTAATATGGTACAGTATTAGTAATTTTTTATTATGTTTAGAACATCAATAAGTTGTCAAGTGGAATAGGACCAGCAACTTTATTGTATTTTCCAAGTTGCATATAGCATGCATCAAAGCAATATATAGATATACTGCTGTAACCATATATAAAATTCTGGTACTGGCAAACAAAAAAAATATAACATGATTTCTTGCCCACAGGTGCATCGTCATGGCTTCGCACACGGTAGATCCCGCATTAACTGGAGCCAAAAGAAGTAAGGTTTAATGCTGCCTTCATTTTGACGTACTATTAAAAGCTTGCTAATCCGGACCCCATTAACCCAGACTTTTGAATAATTCAGATAAAATAATCAAGTTTTGTCTACCAAACTTCGCCAAACTCGAACAGAAATCTGGGTTATCCAGGGTTTCAGTTGGATTACTAAATGATATCGGAAGAACTATGATCACCAGAAGACATCTTGGCAGCTGGCAGTCAAAACTGACATTGCCAATCTATCCTAACCATGTGGATTTAGGTTTATTGGGTGTGGAAATGCAAATTTTGTTGGTTGTGGTACAAGAAAAATTGTGAATGTGTTAATTTTTGGACCTTCCCAGTTAGAATTCCTGCTAATCCGGATTTCCAGCTAACTCGGAGAGGGGGGGGGGGGGCCTATATGATCCAGATTAGCAAGCAATTTCAGTAAAGGTACTAAATTTGCTTCATTTGTTCATAATGAATACAGAGTTTCATTCTCATAGGTAATGGAATTTTACTTTCGGCTTTTTGTTTGTGTTAATTTTATGGTAATGAACTGTTGAAGCTGTCTGCTGCAGCCTCGAGTAGAGTTTCATGACATTAGTTAAATACTGTACAGTGGAACCTCGGTTGACGACTGCCCTAGAGCACAAATTTTTTGGTCGAGGTCAAATTCGTCATAAAATTTGAATTGGTGTACAAAGGTTTACTTGGAAGACAACGTCTGCTCATTTGCATATTGGTCAAACAAGTGCAGGGTGAGGCACACTTAGTTTGTTTACAAGCTATCCCGTGTAGTGTCGACCACAGCCGCACTTGAATTCTTTGTGAAGAATTTCATTGTTTACCTGCTTTTCTGGGGGGAGCCCCGAAGGCTCCCTGGAGCTATCCAGGCTGATAGGGATAGTTCAAACTTTTGGCATTAGTCGATGTGGGTGGAGTTCTAGGCCTACCGGGGGCCAGGTTCTGGCCGTGGTCCAGAATACCTCTACAACTTAAAAATTTTGTAGAGGTATTGTTTTTAATTAAAATAATCATTTGGATTTACGGAATTTGTTGTAGGTTTTTGTTATACTGTGCATACCTATTAATTTCAAATTGTAAACTAGAACTTTGCATGTAGATCAAAAACTCCATTTTGAGGAAGCCATTTGATTGCTCCCATGTATTTTCGTTGTCCCTAACATTGTGCTTTCCTGGGGTGAGGTGAGATCCTCGGTCAGTGCTCTCACCTACGGAGGTGGCCAACTTAAGTTAGCAATTGAAGAATACTTGGCAGTTTCTTTGAATCCAAGTACAGTATTGTTTTGAGGAGGCATTTTAATTGTATAGAAATATACGTTTTGACAATCATTCAAAACTGGATTGATTAGTCTCGTGTCTACCTTTCCCCCCCATTAATAACTGGGGGAGGGAGGGGGGGTTAGTTTGAATAGAAACTGGCTGTGTTGGCCTGAGACGCTTGTACTGATTTTGGTTGGTGGTTGTCGTGTTCTACAGGGAGTGGAGCATTATATAGGCAAGAACCACATGTTCTATGGGGAGTGGAGCATTATGTAGGCAAGAACCACATGTTCTATGGGGAGTGGAGCATTATATAGGCAAGAACCACGTGTTCTATGGGGAGTGGAGCATTATGTAGGGAAGAACCACGTGTTCTATGGGGAGTGGAGCATTATATAGGCAAGAACCACGTGTTCTATGGGGAGTGGAGCATTATGTAGGGAAGAACCACGTGTTCTATGGGGAGTGGAGCATTATATAGGCAAGAACCACGTGTTCTATGGGGAGTGGAGCATTATGTAGGGAAGAACCACGTGTTCTATGGGGAGTGGAGCATTATGTAGGGAAGAACCACGTGTTCTATGGGGAGTGGAGCATTATGTAGGGAAGAACCACGTGTTCTATGGGGAGTGGAGCATTATATAGGCAAGAATCACGTGTTCTATGGGGGTGGAGCATTATGTAGGGAAGAATCACGTGTTCTACAGGGAGTGGAGCATTATGTAGGGAAGAATTGAGTGGAGGTTATTATTATCTAAGCTCGAAACCTTATACAGTATATGTGTGTTCAGTGAGAAATTCAACGAGGCTAGAGTACGAGGGCGATTATCCCAGAGTATAACGTCTGCAAACTGTGTGTTCCCTTAGAGTACCGTCCAGTTGTACCAAGAGAGTACGAGGGCAACTATCACACGGCAGGAGAGTACGAGGGCGACTATCACACGGCAGGAGAGTACGCCCTGGCTCTGCGCGCCTGGATGAACCACCTGTACCAGATGCAGTGTGTAATGGCCACTTTCCCATACTTCCTGGCGTCGGTACACTCACAGGTAAGCATCTTTGTGCGGGGTTCCGTGTGAGAATTGTTTTCACCTCCAGATTCTTTGTCTTGTTAAAGTGCAGTGAATGTATCTGATGTACTGTATTATGTTGCTGTTATTGTTAAAGATGAGGATAGCACTACAGTGCATTAAGATGATGCGTTACATTGTTATCGCAGCAATAATATGACGTATTATTAATTCAGCATTAAATTATAAACACTTCAGTTAGTTCACACCAAGTTCAAGAAATTGTATTTTAAAATGGTTTTAACAGTTCAGTAATTTATTGACTCCCTCATTGTACCAGGTGAGGTTTTCCAGGTTTACTTTAAATAACAGCACATCATCTTCTGTGGGCAGGTGGCTTCATAGATATATTATTCTTTGGGAGAGTAATAATTTCCAGTTGTATAATGTGGCTTGAAACAGTCTCTCACTGACACACACACACACACACAAAACAAGTTGATTGATTGACAGTTGAGAGGTGGGTTGAAAGAGCTAGAGCTCAACCCCTGCAACCATAACTGGGTGAATGCATTGCTCCTCTTCATGAAGTGCTCACGACTCACTTTTGATCACTTGAAAAAGTGATTGGTGCTCACACTAGACCTCTTTATACAGTGGTTGGTATTGCCTTACTTGTCAGGAAGCTGAATTAGCTCTTGGAGATTTGCTCTGTGTTGGTTAATTTTGTCTCCCTGTGCTGAACATTTTTCAATTGATATTGATGTCTTGTTTACGCTTCGTGTTTCCTGGACAGTTTCAAGATGACTTGAGGCTAGTTTCCTTGGGTTATAACTAGAAGACATGGAGAATGCATTCCTCATTAAATGTATACGAGCCTCTTGAGTCTCAGTTTTTGGACTAACTAGAGCTGGCCACAGTTGTAAAGGTTCAGGCTCTGGACAGCTGCCACAGCCCGCTAAACACACGACCAAACTATGACGGTGCCACAACTTTCAAACAAGGTTTAACACCTTACAATTGTAACAATCAACATAGCAAGTTGTAACATCTTTCTAATACATCATAAAAATGTTATAACAAGATAGAAGTGGAAAATAGGAACAGTTACGTTGTGCATTTGCATGGAGTGTGTCTCTTGTATAACATACTTTACTCTGAACCCTGACTTGGATTCATTTGATGTTGAAACTCTTTCGTGAGGGTACTGTAGTACAGTGGACTATGTTCACTGCTCACAGTCCGGGATCCTGGGTTCAATCCCTGGGTGGGACGGAAATGGTTGGGCACATTTCCTTTCACCTAATGCCTCTGTTTACCTAGAAGTAAATAGGTAGCTGGGAGTTGGGCAACAGTTGTGGGGGTTGGATCCTGGGGAGGGTCAGTAGTTGGACCTAGGGAGGACCTTGATTCAAGCCTAAAGTATACATATACACAAGCTTCCTCTACCCAACAAAGGGGTTTATTACTAAATTATTATATTGAACTTTCACTGCATATTGTTCTGGCAAAGCTACCTTACCTTGCCTTGAGGTGCTTCCAGGGCTTAGTGTTCCGGTTGCAATAAGTGCTCTATTGAATATAATCTGAACTGTCAAATAGACTTCAAAAAAAGTGTCGTAAGACGAGAACTGGACAAGCTGTCACTGGTGGCAACACCCAAGTCTCGAGCTGATGCTTGCCTCGTTTCAGACTGCTTCTCACACTGGTCATGGCTCAGCTGTGGTTACTGCTGCATCAGTATCTCCGCAGCAGCCACGCACAGAGGCCACACCAGCGCCGTCAACCTCGCAACAACAGCAACAACAGCAGCAGCGAGAACAGCGGCAGAGAGGTGTCCATTTATTTCTTGTCACCTTCATTATGCTAGTTCCTATCATCAGTGTGGGCGAGTGTGGTGTCAGTGTGGGAGAGAGTGGTGTTAGTATGGGGGAGTGTGTGGGTGAGAGTGGTGTTAGTGTGGGGGAGTGTGTGGGTGAGAGTGGTGTTAGTGTGGGGGAGTGTGTGGGTGAGAGTGGTGTTAGTGTGGGGGAGAGTGTGGGGAAGTTGTCCGTATGGTGGAACATTTGACAACTGAGAACTGATATATCTAATTACAAAATGTGGGATAATTTGCACAAACAAAAATTTCAGTATTATGACAATGATATATATTAACTCTTTAAGTACAGCACTATATAACTTATACAGCCGAATCACACCATTGCTCAAATTGAGTTGGAATAAAGAGGCTTTTGTTTGCACGTTCTACATTTAGGAGGAGTGGAATACACAATACCGCCCCTGTGGAAGAGAGTCGTTGCAGAGTCTATAGATTTCCTCCTCCTGTTTGCAATCAAGCTGGCTGTTACATTTGCTGCTGTGGACGCCTTCGATTTGCTGTATGTTTGTTCTCTTTGTTGAAGTCGGGAAACACTGTCAGTAAAGTGTGTTACCGAGTAGAAATAGTGTAAAATGTTTATCTTGCATGAATTGTATTTTATTCGCCGTATGTGACACGTTGCAAAATCAATTGCCATTAATTTTTAGGAAATATTTCTGGGGGGAGCCCCATCAGCTCCCCAGAGCTATCCAGGCTAAATGGATATGTACAATATATTTTTCTGGCATCAGTCAATGCATGGAGTTCTTACCTACCGAGGACCACGAACCAGACCCTGGCCCCCCTCTAGAGAGGCATGAGGAGCAATGGCCTATAGAGACCCCCTGTGGTTGGGAGCATTCCGTGTCTGCCATCGACCGGGTCAGGCACCCCAAAACAAACCCCTATTCTGGTACGACTATTGCAACTGAAGGCTGAACAAGTGGACAGAACTCCCCAAACGAAAAATAGCAAACTAGCATGACTTCGTCATGTTGCCGCACCACAGTCTGCGCAACACCCCTCCCTCCTCAGGAGGGCGGGAGGGGGGAGCCCCAGACTCGCCTGTCGGCTACCTAACCTACAGTTCTTGGCTGATGGGAGTCTGGTGCGGTCGTGATTCTGGCTCCAGTTTATGTTTGTTCAATGCAGTCCTTGGCCCTTTGGGGCTGGTCGCTTCAGGTGACTCGTCTGCTGAGTTCTCGGGGTTTGACTCTCCTGGCGGTTCATGTCTTGGGGGGGGTGTCCAATGTCCTGGAAGATGGCCTGTCTCATTTCCTTTCCTTTTCCACGGAATGGATGGTCGACACAGACTCCTTCAGTTGATTGTGTTAAACGTTCGGGACTCCGGACGTGGATCTCTTCGCATAGGCGTGGCCGAGGCGTCTCCCAGTATACGTGGCGCCCTTCCCCGACTGCGAGGCCGTCGGGATCGATGCCTTCTGGCAGGACTGGTTATCTTGAGGTTATCTTGAGATGATTTCGGGGCTTTAGTGTCCCCGCGGCCCGGTCCTCGACCAGGCCTCCACCCCCAGGAAGCAGCCCGTGACAGCTGACTAACACCCAGGTACCTATTTACTGCTAGGTAACAGGGGCATTCAGGGTGAAAGAAACTTTGCCCATTTGTTTCTGCCTCGTGCGGGAATCGAACCCGCGCCACAGAATCACGAGTCCTGCGCGCTATCCACCAGGCTACGAGGCCCCCTAGTGGGGTTACCTGAACCTCTTTTCCCCCAGTTCAGCTGTTGGTCCTGGCTCGCTTGGAGACTTACCAGAGAAGAGTTGTCCTTCTGGCTCCTTGGTGGTCGGCCCAGCCTTGGTTTCAGGCGCTACTTGCTCGGTGTCCAAATCAGAGGGTCTTCCCATGACTCCGCTCTTTCAGCGGATCGGTCCAGCCCGGTACGAGGCTGGTTCGGTCTTTTCCTCGAGTCTTTGCGTCTGGAGGTTTTTTTACTCGGGTTTATCATCACTTGTATGGTACGCAGGTGGCTTTGTTGTTGGTCTCCCAACTGCGTGCTTCGTCTTGGCAATAGTATGAAGTTTCCTGGCGGTCCTTCCGGTTCTTCCTATCCCTGCGAAGGTATTCTTCGGTATCTGATTGGGTTGTTTTGTCCTTTCTCTCTCTTGGTTGTTTCAGGACCGTCATCTTACTGTCGCCTCATATTGTGCGCCGCTGACAGAGCCGCTTCAGCTTGCTTTCGGTGTTGTTGTTACTTCTGCCCTGTTCCGCAAGCTTTCTCAGGCATTGTTTCACCTCCGGCCAACTCGTGCACCTCCTGAGCCTTCCTGGTCTTTGGACCGGGTGCTCTCGTTTCTTTCTTCTCCTCGGTTTGTTGTGGCCTCTTCCATTCGAAGGATTGTTTTTCTAAAGCGCTTTATTTCCTGTTGGCATTGGCCTCTGGGGGTCGGGTCGGGGAGCTTCATGCTCTCCTCTGGCGCAGGGGTTTCTGCTCCTTCAGTCCTGGTGGTCATTATGTTTGGTTGTAGCTGTCTCCTTCTTTTCTGGTGAAGAATCAGACGGCAGCATTTCGGTGGGGGCCTTGGGTTGTTGCTTGGTTGGTAAGGCCGGGGGTGTATCGTGTGTTGTGTCCGGTTATGGCTCTCTGCTGTTATTTGCGCACCACGGCTTCGGTGGCCGGGGATGCGCTTTGGGTTGACATGATTTTCCTTCTTCCCTATTCTCGGGCTCGGATCTCTCGGGTTGTCCACAGGGTTATTAGTCTAGCCAGCCTGCGGTTTATCCCCAGGCCCACAATGTGCGCAAGTTAGCTGCTTTGGCTGCCATCTTTGGCAACATGTCTTAGGTTGACATTCAGGCGCGGGGTTTTTGGAGGTCGAACAAGGTCCTGGCTGCTCGCTACCTGGTAAATGTTCCTGGGCCAGGTAGGGGCCTGCGTTGCATTGGGTCAGCGGTTGCAGTCAGTTGTCTCGACTTTGCGATGAGGAGTGAGGACGAACCACTTCCCGGGCAAGTCCCTGTTTTTCCTTATCTTTGGGTAGTTAGTTCCAGGGAGCCGATGGGGCTTCCCCCAGAAAACCAGCATTGACTGTAATGAAACGCCATTTTCTGGGTGAGCCCTGGAGGCTCCCCGGCATCCCTCCCTCCCTCCGGTCGGCAGTGTTTTTTGCGCTTTTTGACATCCTAAGAACTGTAGGTTGGGTTGCTGGCCGATGGAACTGGGGCTCCCCCTTCCCCCTCCCGGGGAGGGAGGGGTGTTGCGCAGACTGCAGTGCGGCAACATGACGAAGTCATGCTAGTTTGCTAATTTTCATTTGGGGAGTTCTGTCTACTTGTTCAGCCTTCGGTCGCAATAGTTTTACCAGAATAGGGGTTTGTTTTGGGGCGCCTACCTTTCTGGGTGCCTGTCCTAGTCGATGACAGACATAGAATGCTCCCAACCACAGGGGGTTCTCTATAGGTCATTGCTCCTCGTGCCTCTCTAGAGGGGGGCCAGGTTCCGAGTCGTGGTCCCCGTTTGGCAAGAACTCCATGCATTGACTGATGCCAGAAAGATATACATATCCATTCAGCCTGGATAGTTCCAGGGAGTCTCCAGGATTCACCCAGAAAATGGCGTTTCATTACATTCAATGCTGGGTTTTTGGCGATTTTAATGATTCTGTTAATGATTTTGAGCAGTAATTTTACTTTCTTCCAATTGTCACATTGTATGTTCCAGGCTGTAAATATCACACTGTTAGTACACAATGTCAGCACCACACTGTTAGTACCACACTGTCAGCACCACACTGTCAGCACCAATAAATAATTTAAATAAATAAAAAAATAAACAAAACCAATTGTTTGAATAGCAAAGTTTTATGTCTTGAGGGTTTAGTGAAAGACTTGCGCAAGGATAAGAATCAATTGGAAACAAATTGCAAAGCCATGGAAGAAGAAAATAAACTCTTAAAAATAGCTTTGGAAGAAGTTAAAGTAAATTTAAACATAAATGACTACAATAGGTTAGGCAAGGAAATTCAACAGGAGAAACAGCTTTTGTCAGCACAGATGGAGGAAGTTACACAGGGAATAGAACAGTGCAAGAAAGATATGCAACTCACTTATGCACAAGTGGCCAAGGAGAAGGAAAAAATAGAAGAAGCAGTAAAGGAAGTCAAACACTGCAGCAACCAAGATAAAACAAACATTAGGCTAGAAGTGAGGAAAGAATTGGCATCTAACCCGAAGTTGGTGCAAAACACAGTTGATCGGAGTAAGTCCCTGATCATTTTTGGCTGCAAAGAAAAGGCGATAACATCTAGGTCAGAAAGAGCTGTAGAAGAAGCTAAAGTAGTAGATAAAATTGTTGGCCTCGTGGAAGGTCTTACAAACAGAGAGAATGTGTGCGACTACAGGAGAATAGGCAGGTACGTAAAAGGGAAAGATCGACCTTTGAGGATCACCCTAAACGGTGCCAAACAGATGGAAGAAGTACTAAGGAATGCTAGAAAATTGCAAAGGGATGAGGATGGGAAAGGGTGGTCGTTAAGACGAGATCTTTCAAAAGAAGATAGAGAGAAGCTGAAACTGAACCTCGCCGAGGCAAAACATTTAAATGAGAGCAGGAATGAAGAAGAAATAAATTCTTTTTTCTACAAAGTGATAGGGGTAGGCAAACCAGTAAAGTGGTACATAAAGGCAAACCAACAAAATCAATAGAGAGAGGGGGAGTGAAGAATAAGGAGAGGGGGAACAAGTTCCTGAAGATTGCATACACCAACATAGATGGAGTGAGATCGAAGATACTGGAGTTAAGTGATGTAATACAGCTGCAGACACCAGACATTGTTGCACTCACGGAGACAAAACTTGAAGATGTAATTTTAAATGAGGTCATATTCCCAAGGGGCTACTCAATTTGGAGACGGGACAGAAAAATTAGGAAAGGCGGTGGCGTTGCTGTGCTGGTAAAAGAACACCTAAAGGTGAAGGAAATAATGACTGCCAATCCACAAGAAGTTGACATAATAGCACTAGAGATCTGCTATGAGGATGATAAACTAATGATGATAAATGCATATAGTCCACCGCCAAGCAGCACATGGTCAAAGGAGGAGCTAGATAGTAAACGTGAAGGTCTTATAACAATAATGAGAGAGATTATAGCGAGAGCGGATAACGATAGATCACGACTGTTGATAGTCGGTGACTTCAACTTGAAATCCATAGACTGGGAAGCATATGAAGCTAAAACAGAAGATTTTTGGACCTGTAAATTTGTAGACCTCATCCTGGAAACATTCTTGTATCAACATGTTAAACAAGCTACGAGGATGAGGGAAGGGGACGTTCCCTCCATGCTAGATTTGATATTTACCAGGAAGGAGGAAGAGATATTTGACATTCAGTACCTTCCTCCCTTGGGTAAAAGTGACCATGTCTTTTTGGGAATAAAGTATGCAATGCGTTATAAGCTGGAAGAAAATAAGGAGGTTGAAGCAGTTGAAAAACCAGACTTCAGGAGAGGACATTATGGTGACCTTAGAAATTTTTTTAGTGAGTATAATTGGACAGACTTGATGCTAGGCAAGGAAGTGAATGAGATGTATGGCAAGTTTTGTGAAATATATGATAAAGGCACAAAAAAATTTATACCAAAACAGAGATGCAGGACCAGAAAACAGGATTGGTTCGACAGAAATTGTGAGAGGGCAAGAGACCAAAAGACACAAAAATGGAATCAGTATAGGAAGAGGCCAAACCCCCAAACATACCAGCGATACAAAGATGCGAGAAACAATTATACAGCAGTAAGGAGAGAGGCAGAAAGAAATTTTGAAAAAGGGATAGCAGATAAATGTAAAACAGAACCGGGCCTATTCTACAAATTCATAAACAACAAATTGCAGGTAAAGGATAATATCCAGAGGTTGGAAATGGGAAACAGATTCACGGAAAATGAAAAGGAAATGTGTGAAACATTAAATGAAAAGTTCCAAAGTGTGTTTGTACAAAATGAAATCTTCAGAGAACCAGACACAATAAGAATTCCAGAGAACAACATAGAGCGGATAGAGGTGTCTAGAGATGAAGTGGAAAATATGCTAAAGGAGCTCGGGAGGAACAAAGCAGCTGGCCCAGATGGCGTTTCACCATGGGTTCTGAGAGAATGTGCATCTGAGCTCAGCATTCCACTTCACCTGATCTTTCAGGCATCCCTGTGTACAGGAATCGTAGCAGACGTGTGGAAACAGGCTAACATAGTTCCAATCTACAAAAGTGGCAGCAGGGAAGACCCCCTCAATTATAGACCTGTATCATTGACAAGTGTAATAGTGAAAGTATTGGAAAAGCTAATCAAAACTAAATGGGTAGAACACCTGGAGAGAAATGATATAATATCAGACAGACAGTATGGTTTTCGATCAGGAAGATCCTGTGTATCGAATTTACTCAGTTTCTATGATCGGGCCACAGAGATATTACAGGAAAGAGATGGCTGGGTTGACTGCATCTATCTGGACCTAAAAAAGGCTTTCGACAGAGTTCCACATAAGAGGTTGTTCTGGAAACTGGAAAATATTGGAGGGGTGACAGGTAAGCTTCTATCATGGATGAAAAATTTTCTGACTGATAGAAAAATGAGGGCAGTAATCAGAGGCAATGTATCAGAATGGAGAAATGTCACAAGTGGAGTACCACAGGGTTCAGTTCTTGCACCAGTGATGTTTATTGTGTACATAAATGATCTACCAGTTGGTATACAGAATTATATGAACATGTTTGCTGATGATGCTAAGATAATAGGAAGGATAAGAAATATAGATGATTGTCATGCCCTTCAAGAAGACCTGGACAAAATAAGTATATGGAGCACCACTTGGCAAATGGAATTTAATGTTAATAAATGTCATGTTATGGAATGTGGAATAGGAGAACATAGACCCCACACAACCTATATATTATGTGAGAAATCTTTAAAGAATTCTGATAAAGAAAGAGATCTAGGAGTGGTTCTAGATAGAAAACTATCACCTGAGGACCACATTAAGAATATTGTGCAAGGAGCCTATGCAATGCTTTCTAACTTCAGAATTGCATTTAAATACATGGATGGCGATATACTAAAGAAGTTGTTCATGACTTTTGTTAGGCCAAAGCTAGAATATGCAGCTGTTGTGTGATGCCCATATCTTAAGAAGCACATCAACAAACTGGAAAAGGTGCAAAGACATGCTACTAAGTGGCTCCCAGAACTGAAGGGCAAGAGCTACGAGGAGAGGTTAGAAGCATTAAATATGCCAAAACTAGAAGACAGAAGAAAAAGAGGTGATATGATCACTACGTACAAAATAGTAACAGGAATTGATAAAATCGACAGGGAAGACTTCCTGAGACCTGGAACTTCAAGAACAAGAGGCCATAGATTTAAACTAGCTAAACACAGATGCCGAAGAAATATAAGAAAATTCACCTTCGCAAATAGAGTGGTAGACGGTTGGAACAAGTTAAGTGAGAAGGTGGTGGAGGCCAAGACCGTCAGTAGTTTCAAAGCGTTATATGACAAAGAGTGCTGGGAAGACGGGACACCACGAGCGTAGCTCTCATCCTGTAACTACACTTAGGTAATTACACTTAGGTAATTACCACACTGTCAGCACCACACTGTCAGCACCACACTGTCAGCACCACACTGTCAGCACCACACTGTCAGCACCACACTGTCAGCACCACACTGTTAGCACCACACTGTTAGCACCACCACGAGGGCAGTAATCAGGGGCAGTGTATCAGAATGGAGAAATGTCGCCAGTGGAATACCACAGGGTTCAGTTCTTGCACCAGTGATGTTTATTGTCTACATAAATGATGTACCAGAAGGAGTACACAATTATATGAACATATTTGCTGATGATGCGAAGATAATAGGAAGGATAAGTAACCTAGATGATTGTCATGCCCTTCAAAGAAAACCCAAACAAAATAAGTATATGGAGCACCACTTGGCAAATGGAATTTAATGTGAGTAAATGCCATGTTATGGAATGTGGAATAGGAGAACATAGACCCCACACAACCTATGAATTATGTGAGAAATCTTTAGAGAATACTGATAAAGAGATCTAGGGGTGGTTCTAGATAAAAAAAATTGTCACCTGAGGACCACATTAAGAACATTGTGCAAGGAGCCTATGCTATGCTTTTTAACTTCAGAATTGCTTTTAAATACATGGATGGAGAAATACTAAAGAAATTGTTAATGACTTTGGTTAGACCTAAGCTGGAATATGCAGCTGTTGTGTGGTGCCCATATCTTAAGAAGCACATCAACAAACTGGAAAAGGTGCAAAGACAATCACTAAGTGGCTCCCAGAAGAGAAGGACAAGAGTTACAAGGAGAGGTTAGAGGCATTAAATATGCAAAAACTAGAAGATAGAAGAAAAAGAGACGATATGATCACTATGTACAAAATAGTAACAGAAATTTATCAAATTGATAGGAAAGAATTCCAAAGACCTGGAACTTCAAGAACAAGAGGTCATAGATTTAAACTAACGAAACAAACCTGCTGGAGAAATATAAGAAACTTCACTTTTGTAAACAGTGGTAGACAGTTGGAACAAGTTAAGTGAGAAGGTGGTGGTGGCCAAAATTGTCAGTAGTTTCAAAGCGTTATATGACAAAGAGTACTGGGAAGACGGGACACCACGAGCATAGTTCTCATCCTGTAACTACACTTGGGTAACTACTGTACTTAGGTAGTTTCCACATTAGGTACCACACTATTAGCAACACCACAATGTCAGCACCACACTGTTAGTACCACAATGTCAACACCACACTAGGGACCACACTAGAGGCCACACTGCAGATTCCCCTACTAGCACAGTAGGTAAGCACTTGGTACACTGAGCCACAGTAGCACACTTCATAGTAAATATATAACATTGATTTAGTTCCTTGTGGTGAAATGCCAAAGAGTAGAGTAATTGTAGTTGATTATTTTCCCATAATAATGTTGCCAAATGGGATTTGCAAAGCCTTGACAGGTGACACGTAATGTAAACATGAAATCGTGTGTATCCTATTGTTCTAACATTGTTATCAGTACTTATTACTGCAGTTGATTGTAGCAAGTATAAAGTTATTGTAGCAAACACTTGGCCATAATGTAGCTGAAGCAAATAACTTCCCCCTTCACGCAAGAAATGGTTAATGATGTTTCGGTCCAGCCTAGACCCATGTCGCCCATCCTAGACCGAAGACCCAGCCGAGACCCATGTTACGACTTGATGAGGTTCCATGATGGACCGAAATGTTCTCACTTTTGTTTCATTTCATACATGTGGGTTTGATTATTTATCAAGATAATGTACCTTTTCATTACCCCATTGGTAGCTAGATATAAATTCAAATATTTATTTTGCAAAATAGTAGATTAACCTTGTTTAAGACATCGGTTTCAGTTCTGCATGTCACTAGAAAGCTTTGAAGATATGTATTGTGTACTTGTTTGCTTTAATTGTGTCAATAACCCAACCTGCACAAGTGAGATGAATAGAAAGTGACGACATTTCGGTCATTTCTGGACCTTCATCAGACGGTGGTCATGATGAGGATCTTGGACGAACCAAAATGGTGTCACAACTTGATCATTGGCTCAAGTTGGAGCGGATCACGATGATTGGACAAGGGTCCTATAGAAGGACGGAAATAATATCACTTTTAACTTGACGAGTGTAGGTCACGTTATTTCTTTCAGCTATGTTATCGTCCTATTCTTTGCCTGCCATGTAAAATGTTCAATGAGCCGTTTCTTTCAATAGGAGTGATGTTGAAAAATATGACTTTGAAAACTTGAGTGCAGACATAATGTCAGATTACAGAGTGGCTCTGGAGATGACGTCAGAAATCCTCGTGCTGGAGCTCATACATCGTATAGGCACTTGTGTGTTTGAGGTGAGTTGCCTCCTTGTCTGGGAATTATGATGGTAATACTGTACTACGGAAATTATGGTTTCTGACTGGTCCTAAATTTTCTTAACGACATCCTGTGTTTTAATTTTTGGCCATACCTTTTGAGCATCGGAGATGCTAAACTCGTCATCTTTACAAAAGTATGTCTACCACCGGGTGGGCACCATTGGTTGAAAGCGACTGACTTTGCATTACTGTTTAATGTTGCTCATATTCAACCATTGGTGCCCCAACTGGGCATGCTGATTCTTGGCCCATCCTCTTCAAGTGATACCACTTAGAGCAACAATTTGGTCCAATGTATAACAATGGACTGTTGGACCCCCAAAAAGTTAGTTTTGTGCTGTTGGATTATTCCAGTTGGCTGGTTAAAAAAGTGAATTAATAACTGAAGAAGCTAATCTCAGCTGTCCTAGGCTTTACTAAGCAATCCTAGGCCCTCGTATGCTGTCATTGGCCTAATGTAGTACATGTGTGTTATACTAGGCCCAGGAAAGTTTACATAAACTTTACATTATGTAAAGTTGAATGCAACCGTCTATTTTTTAGGTTGACCCCAATAGTTGGTACTGTACAAGTACTGTACTGTCGTATCTGGAGGATGGATGTCTAGCCCATCCTCTAAGAGTTGCCACAATGGACAAAAAATAGTGTACTAAAATGTGCTACCTAATCAGTGTAACTTAAACTATGCATAGAAAATGGGGTTGTTTGTGAGCCACTGTGATTCACAGTATGTTATATTTTTGTCCGTCGAGGATTTTAGCGTCAAAATACGATATATATTTTGAGTTGGTGATAACACCAGTGAGACTTGGATCACATGCCAGAAGCAACACCTCTGTGAACATTTAGGGGTGCTAACCTCATCATCAAAGAAGAAATACAGTACTAGGATATATTATATTCAATCCCCAGCCGTCAAGCACTAAAACAACATCAAACAGAATCTGAAGAAAATTCAACAATGATGCCCCACTTGGAAAAATATATACTTGATAAATGTCTTTTGTCTAATCTCGTCACTGTGCTGCACCTCCACGAGCCTGACCCTTCACTACCCTTGACCCGTACTATCTCGGAGTTGATAAACTCCTAATAGGCTGAACATTATCAACAAATAATGTCTATACCATCTTTGTTTCTATACACTGTGATGTCCATTCCATCCACACCCTGCCTCACTTTTCATCTCCCTGGTTCATTATGGTCTGTTTCTAATGTACACATTAATACAGTATCCATCTTATTGATTCACTTATTTTGAACTACTGATGTTTTCTGTCATCACTGCTTAGAATGTTTACTAAACATGAGTGTGCATGAATAAACATTGAGGCAGTACGAGGAACTCTGACCTGTGCTCCTGGTCACCTCAAGCACGCACTATTGACTGCACCACGATTGGGTAAATGTACTAAAGTACTTCTGGTTGCGGTTATTTTAGCTCGCAAGAGTCCAGTCAGTAGTGTATGTGTCCGAGGTGATCAGGCGGACGTGGATTCGATTCCATTGTATGGCATTTATTCATAGATTCATCACGGTATTTTACATGTTTGTACAGCTGCTCATTACCGGCAGGCTTTGTGTTTACATCGCGGCACCGGTGGGACGGGAGGTGCGACGCCCGGTAAAAAGCTGGTTGGCCTGAGAGTAGTGCGGTGTGAATGGGTGGCCCCGACGGCAGCAGACCAGGCACTTGTCTACCCAGCTACTGACCTGGGGTAAGGCCAAGATAATCATTTGAGTGTTCCTCATGCTAAATACACTTCAATGAAAAGTTTTGTTAACTGGTTAGTGACATAATCCACTGTGGACAGAGGGTAATCCATAGGTTTGTTGCTAAAAAAAAAACAGCGTTGAATGTAATAACACGCCATTTTCTGGGTGAGACCCGGAGGCTCCCCGGAGCTATCCAGGCTGATATGCTAATGACAGACATTGGCATTAGTCATGTGTATGGTGTTATGTGGGCTTACCGGGGACCACGAGCCAGAACCTGGCCCCCTCAAAAGAGGCACGAGTAGCAATGGCCTATAGAAACCCCCATGTGGTTGGAAGCATTCTATGTCTGCCATACATAGATGTTAGTATATTTTGGTAGCAGTCTTTCCTGTAGACATATATTATTAAATATGACCGAAAAAGTAAGATTAATAATTCTAACACGAATTTTCTCAATATTTCTTATGGTTCTTTTCACTGTTGATGGTAATTGAAAAATCAATTCTCCAAAATTCATTTTTATTTCTAGTCTGACGCGACACTTGAACGCGTTTCGTAATAACTTATTACATTTTCAAAGACTTTAGTTTACACACACACAACTATATCCAGCAAACACTAAACAGAGTTTAAACAGCTTTGATTTTATACCTGCATTTGGGTGAGGTGATATGATACAACAGTTTTTGGATGAGGTGAAAACAAACTTTCAACACAAGACAGAACATGAAACAATGGGTATAATATTTTGTAAGTTAAAGGGAAGAATGGAAGTAACTGCAAAGGGCCTATTGGCCCATATTTCTTGATGCATCTATATTGGTGCGGAGTCTTGAAGTGGGTAGAATATAGTTGTGCATTAGAACCATAAGAAATATTGAGAAAATTCGTGTTAGAATTATTAATCTTACTTTTTCGGTTATATTTAATAATATATGCATACATAGATGTATGTATGTATGCCATACATACATCCCTTCATCCGGGAGGAGGGAGGGATGTCGGGGAGCCTCCAGGTCTGGCCCAGAAAATGACATTTCATTACATTCAACACTAATTTTCTGGGGGAGTCCCTTCGGCTTCCCGGAGATAACTACCCACAGAGGAATTATAGAGGGACTTACCCGGGAGGCGGTCGCTGCTTGCTGCTCAACCCGAAGTCGAGACAACTGGCTGCAACCGCCGACCCGAGCCCTAGTTGGCCGACCTGTTGGCCCTAGTCGGGCCAACAGGCCCGACTAGGCCTGTGTCCTAACGTTCACGAGGTAGCACGCAGCCAAGATCCTATTCGACCGCCAAAAACCCCGCGCCTGAATGTTAGCCCAAGACATTTTCCCAAAGATGACAGCAAGAGCAGCGAACTTACGAACGTCGTGGGGATAGACCGCAGGCTGGTTGGCCTTAATAACCTTGCGGATGACTTGGGAGACCCCTCACCTGCGAACAGGGAAGAAGGGAAACCGGATCAACCCAAATCGCGTCCCCGGACACACAAGCCGTTTCGCGCAAATAATGGCGGAGGGCTGCAACCGGACACAAAACATGATGCACCCCTGGCCTGATCAACCAAGCATCAGCAACCCATTCTCATTCTTCACCAGAAAAGGAGGAGATAGCTGCAGATGAACAAACCGATCGCCACGACCGAAAGAGCAGAAACCCCTGCCCCGGAGGAGACCATGAAGCTCCCCAACCCAACCCCCAGAGGCCAATGCCAACAAGAAAAGAGCCTTCCAGAAACAATCCTGAACCTAAGGGGCCACAAGAAGCCGAGGAGAAGAAAAAAAAAGAGCAAAAGAGAGAACATCAATACCAAAAGCGAGCAGAAGCGGCTCTGCCAGCACCGCATGATACAAGGAAACAGTATTAGGCATAAGATGACGGTCCTGGAACAACAAAGAGAGAAAGGACAACACTCGAACAGAAACTAAAGCACAACGACGAAGACGTAAAAATAACCGGAACGACCGCCAGGAGACTTCACACTGCCGCCGAGACGAAGCCCGCAGGTGGGACACCAACAAAGAAACCACCTGATCACCATAGAGATGATAAACCCGAGTAAAAAATACCATACGCGAAGACTCGAAGAAGATCGAACCAGCCACGTGATGTTCCGGTCCAATCTGCTGGAAGAGGCGGAGCCTTGAGAAAATCTGCGGGTTCGGACACCAAGCAAGCAGCGCCTGAAACAAAGGCTGGGCCGGCCACCACGGGGCCAAGAGGACTACTCTCCCCTGGTGAGTCTCCAAGTGAGTCAGGACCTGAAGCAACAGCTGAACCGGGGAAAAGAGGTACATGAACCTCCACCTCGACCAGTCCTGTTGAAAGGCATCGACCTCGACGGCCTTGCAGTCAGGGAAGGGCGCCACATTCAGAGGAAAACGCCGCGACCATGCTGACGTGACGAGTTCCACCTCAGGGCGCCCAAACGTCTGGCAGAGCCAACGGAAGGATGCGGCATCGTCTGTTCATTCTGTGGACAGGGGAACGAAACGAGACAGGCCGTCCGCCAAGACGTTGGACACTCCCCACATGTGAAATGCCAGGAGAGCCAAACCCCGAGAACTCGGCAGACGAGTCACCCGAAGCGACCGGCGCCAAAGAGCCAAGGACCGCATTGAATCCCCTCGGTGCAGAAAATGAACCACCGGGGAACAGTCTAAATGGAGCCGGATCGTCGATCTGCAGCCGACCCGAACCCTCCGAAGAGCAAAACACACCGCCGCGAACTCCTGCACCGTGCTGTGGACCCGATGAAAGGATGGACCCCACCGTCCCTGGCTGGCCTGGTGAGCACTGGTCACAAAGCCGCAGCCGAGAGACGACGCGTCCATGAACACATCGAGTAAGGGCTTGGGCAGGCGCAAAGGCACTAAACCCTGAAAAATCCGAAGAGGAAGCCGGCGACGCAGCAGCCAACGCAAGTACCCCGGAGCCGAACCCATTGATCGTGAGAGGCGGAAGGGACATCCCCGAAGGAACCAGAACGGCTGACGAAGCCAAACCAGACCCGGCGGGTAGACCATCAGGCAAAACGTAGGAGAGAATGTACCCCAGAGAAGTCATCACTGCCTGATATTATAATGGAAGGGGATTCCCCTTCCAAACAGTAACACCTCTCCTCCTCCCCCCCTCATCACCATCTTCCATACACCATCAAGAGTCTTCCATAAAGGTAAGATAAACATATGTACTGTATCGTAGTTATAAAAAAAATTGTATTCAGTATAAAATGTATTTTTAAGTTAATATTTTTGGGGGTGTGGAACGGATTAATTCAATTCCCATTATTTCTTATGGGAAAAATCACTTCGACTTAAGATACGTCTCTGGGAATGGATTACCATCGTAAATTGAGGCCCTATTGCATGTTACATTTTTTGTTTACCTACGTAATTCTAAGAGGTAGTGTATAGCTTTCGTTGTTGCTCCCAAGATTTGAGAAGCGATGGTATTTATTTACGTATATATTTACCTAAATTTACCCCAAGGGCCACTATCTATCTATCTAGTGGCCTCGACGAGGACCAAAAAACCGGGGCTTGTTTAGTTCCGCCAATTGTCCTAATTATATTTTCTAACTGGATTTTGGGATTTATGGCCTCAGCGGGTAGGCGGTTCCATGGGCTTTATTTATTTATTTATTTATTTATATACAAGAAGGTACATTGGGTTTGTGAGGATACATAGCATAGTATTTACATTCTTGTAAAGCCACTAGTACGCGCAGCAATTCGGGCAGGTCCTTAACCCTTAACATGCTAGGGGTATAATATCCTTTCTTCCCCACAGGCACATGTAATTTTGGAAAAAAAAAAATATTTTTTCTTCCTAACCTGTTAATTTGTGTTCACTGATCACGGGAAAAATAATAAAAAATCGTAAGTGGCATATATTGCCGGCTATAGGGCGGGGAAGTCTGGCAAATTATAGACGCTGACTCAGTGTGCGTCCCAGGCGGTCTGTTGCTCGCCAGCTGTCAGGCCGGACTTGCCACAAAGAGATAATTACCTAATTATTTCAATGTCTCTGATTGATTTTTCATAGCTTTTTTGCTGTAATATTATTCAATAGTGTGTAGTTTGATATATTTATATAATAAAATGAGTGAATCATTGCTGTACTCAAAAATATGGTGTGCATATTGTTGATTTAATTATGTTCATCAATCAGTGAACAAATAATTTGTTGGTTATTACACTATAAGCACAGGTTATATATAAGTATCTGCATGTTTTGTTCACTATAGCGAACCACTAAGTAGCTATTATGAGTAAAAAAGTAACGAGGAGTGACCGCCGTGTACCAGCCAGCCACTCCCGCCCTCCCTCCAGTCATCTGACTCGCCCACATTCTCCACCCACCATACTGTTTTTGCTATAATCCACTATATACAGACGTTATATATAAGTATCTACATGTTTTGTTCACCATAACTGTACATCTAAGCTTGTATGGTGAGTAAAGGCACAAAGACGTAGGACCTCACACAGTCGGCTGATGGCTGCCGCCCTCAAGGCCAGACGCACTAATATTTCTCCTCCAACAATACTGTGTGGTGTTATTACGCTATATACACACATTATATATAAATATCTACCTGTTTTATTCACCATACTTGTACAAATAAACTGGTATGGTGCCCAAAGACCATCGTGGTAACCAGTAAACAACACCGTCGTCTGCACGGTGGCGTCGTGCAGACAATGCCACCCCCCCTCACCAAAATGGAGGCTCCAAACCTTCTCTTGCTGTTTATACCCTCTATACACACGTTATATATAAGTATCTACATTTGTGTTCACCATAGTGAACAACTAAGCTGGTATGGTGAGTGCAGTCAATAAAAGGTGGCCACACACAGTCAGAAGACATCGCCACCACCCTCCCTCCCACAGCATTACTCCTCCCTCCATGGCACACAGCGCTAAATATCACCACAATCCTGCTATTATCAGAACCCTGGTCAGTTTTATCACAGTCAGAGGTCTTCTGTAATAATATCATCGCTACATAATAGCATGAACAAGTATATTTTGGCATTTTTAGGCGATGCTGTGGTCACAAGCTGAACAGCAGTGCTGTTAGCTCATGCTGCGTGCGTCAGGCTTGGTTGTTCACTCAATACTGAGGCCAATAACACCCGGGAGTTTGGCCCACGATTTTTTTAAAAAATGGCTTCTGTTTACAAGAGCCCTGATGAAGGTGTGGTGAACCCCATGTATCCGCGGGCCGTTTAAATCTTGCGTAGTACTTCAACACGTCATATGACGTGATGCGCACTTTAAGGGTTAACCTTGTTGAAATATATGGCCGATTGCTTCCCCCCAAAGCCTTGTTCTATACCTTGAATATGTAGATTGTTGATAAGTTTGATGATTGGGCGGTGCGTAATGTTGCAAGCACCCGGTGTCAGGATTCGGCAAGCATTTATGCGACAACTTGCAATACCTGTACATCTCTCTTCAATCACGGCAGCTTAGTTTAGATTTATTCAACAGTTTATAAGCTCCGAAGCATTACGAGGTTATTTATAAAATTAATAAACCTTATCCCTGATCAACCAGGCTGTGACTCATACGTCAGGCTGCGAGCAGCCGCGTCCAACAGCCTGGTTGATCAGTCCAGCAACCAGGAGGCCTGGTCGACGACCGGGCCGCGGGGACGCTAAGCCCCGGAAGCACCTCAAGGTAACCTCAAGGTAACCTCAAGGTAGGTTGTGTTTTGAAGCTCTTAACTGTTTAATAAGTGTAAAACAAGCCACCATGATTGAGGGAAGATGTACAGGTTTTGTAAGTGGTTGTGTAAATGGTTGTTGACTTTGGACAAGATTCAAGTACTGTAGTATACCTACTCTAGGTAGGTATGCTACAGGTATAGTAGTAGGTATACCTACTCTAGTAGGTATACCTACTCTAGTAGGTATACCTACTCTAGTAGGTATACCTACTCTAGTAGGTATACCTACTCTAGTAGGTATACCTACTCTAGTAGGTATACTACAGGGTATAGTAGTAGGTATACCTACTATAGTGGGTATACTCTTGGCACTCTGCCTAGCCCACCTTTGAGTTAACAAACACCACACAGAATTTTAGCCCAAAGCCACTTGAACCAATCAGAAACGAGTGCAGGTTTAGCGAGGTTCTCATTGGACTACTTGGCGCACGCACATAAATGGCACCATTGCGCTGAAGCTTTAATCACCTTATGAGTCACCTGTTTTGTAAACAAATGTCCAAGTGTCCATTCTCCGAGTTCATTACAATGGTACTTCGTAGGGTTTTATCATCATGTTGCATTTAACTACATATTGTTCTATACAAGTGTCGTGCCTAACAAGCGTTAACGTAAATTCTTACTGTATTAGCTCTTCTAACTGTAAAGAGCGCTACCTATCAACTTTACGTAAGCAACCTTAAAAGGTTAACTATTGGTAAAGGGGTTGATTAAGCAATTGTGCTTAATGCAGAGAATAAGTCACAATAACATGCTGAAAATTATACACACACACACAACCAACACATCTGAAAAGAAAGAACATTTTGGTCCATCCTGAACTTGATAATGGTCCAGGATGGACTGAAATATCGTAACTTTCTTTCTTTGCAGATGTGTGGGTCGGGTGTCTAATTGTACTTGAACTTGGAGTGGGAAGGGGGGGGTGGTTCAGAGAGTCGTTCTACTTACCAAGCCTGGCCTAGGGGCAGGCTTGACAGTGCTTGGTCCAACAGCCTGTTGCTTGGAGCATATTGCTGGGCAACATAATTTGTATGCTCTCCAGTTGTAGAATATGGAGAACGGGCTAGTTATCACAATGCGTACATTGAGGATGATTAATGTCGATTCCCAGAATATCTTTTGAGCAAAGAGGTGGAATTGAACCCACAGTCTGTCACCCCAGATGCACTTATTAGGATACTAAACCCATCCCACTGCCTTGTTCCAAAGAGTTTCTTGTAGATATATCATGTTTTTGTGATTTTATTGTGCAAGTTGATTTTGTACTAATAATGCTCTTGTACTTCAGACTGGGTCGTGCCATCATCCGTTCAATGGTGAAGAACTTTTCTCTCACGTTCCTCTTCCCTATCTGCTTCATGCTGTTCTCCTTCCAACACAACCGTACCGTCTATGACATCATTGCTGGATCTGTTGTTGTCGAGGAGCGAACAGCCCGGAGACGCAGGAATAACAACAATGCAAATTAAATACAAGCTGTACGTTGCACTTGTTGAAATAGCAACTTGAAAAGCATGAAGTGAGAGAGAGACATAGATGTTGAGTGTTGATTAATGTGGTAATTTTTGTACATATGTAATGAACAAACCTTCAGTACCAACAATGAAAGTGGGCGGTGGATCCGTTGACCTTGATTGTGGTCTTGCGCTCTGAGCCTGCTGAGTGTGTCTTTGTGGTTCACCTGCTCAGAGGATGGGGATGAAGTTCCTAATTATAGTATTTCGTTAATGGCATGAACTTTGTTGCCATGTGATGCCCTTGGTTCGCATTCCGTATTTTATCCTATTTGTATTATGATCATTAAGAAGTTTTTTGTTTTTAGGGATGAAGTAAAAAGTTTTAATTTTTGTCCCATCCTATGTTTCCCTAGGTTATGTGAACAGTTTTGCCACCTAAAATGTGAAAATGTATTGTGAGAATTTCAGTTGGTGTCTGATGGCGTGTTTCTTAACAACAAAAGCGCGGGTGTGTGTTTTTGTATCGTGTCCAGTTGCTTTATTGTGTGTACATTAAATCTGACGGTTACTTTGATGTGTGTGCATGTTGGACATTTACTCAGTTGTGTGCGCATGTCCACTAGGACAGTAATCAGAATCTTTGCTGTGGGTAATTGCAATTTAAATGTTTTAAGTTTAACTGCTTTTTTGCTCTTGAGAAGAAAAAAATTTGGGTATAATTTTTATAGTGATGTATCCAGAATGTTTTGAATGATGCAGATAATTTTATAAGCCTATACATGTGTGGAGGATGATGAATTGTGTGAATGTTTAAATGGGAGAGATTTATTATTCATCATAAGATTGATAGACTGAGAATGGTTTACAATTACCCATAATAGTTTGGATGAGAGAGAAGAATGATGTAAAAGGTGAACTGAATGAAAAAAATTGGCTCGACTTGTTATAGTGTGAAGTTTGCGCATGACGACGTGTGCAAACACTCGTGCGCTGTGTATCAGTATTCGATTAAAGTATCTAAAGAACATGTTGTATAATGTAGGTGTCGGAGATGATCTATGTTTGCTGCTGACAGTAGGTTGCCTAAGACTGTTAATGGAAGGTTAAGAAAATCTTAATAAACGTAACGTAATTAAAATGTAAATTTGAGTTACGTTTATGGACTGTGAGACTCCTCTGTAAAGAACACCTTACGTATTGCAGAAGTTTTGACGACTTCATATTAGGAAAGTATTGAAAGACTGTATGAATTAAATTTTTACAATTTATATATTTTTTTTTTTAATTTGTGACAAAAGATGTAATGAACGATGTTGGTAGTTTGTCTTGATTGAAATTTCAATTTATTTTATAATAAAAATGTTAAAATGATAAATGAATCATGTTATTTCTATTTTCCTATTATTATTCCTAATGAAAAATAAATTTTTCTAATTTTATCATTCTCATATTAGTGTTTTGATGCTAAAGGTGGGGGGGGGGGGGGCTTAAGGGTGTGTGCATGTACGAAGGGAGTTTAGGGGTGTGTGCATGTACAAAGGGAGCTTAGGGGTATGTACAAAGGGAGCTTAGGGGTGCGTGTGCATGTAAAAAGGGGGTTTAGAGGTGTGCATGTACAAAGGGAGCTTAGGGTGTGTGTGCATGTACAAAGGGGGGCTTAGGGTGTGTGTGCATGTACAAAGGGGGGCTTAGGGTGTGTGTGCATGTACCAAGGGAGTTTAGGGGGGGGTGTGCATCCCAGCATTGGGTTGGTTGAAGTTATGCCACATGGTCAGCATCACCCATATAATAACAAGAGATATGAGAAGGAATCTCGCATGCAGCATACTGAATCATTCTACAGTACTTCCCTTTATTACCTCCAGCTAAAAATGAATCTGTGATAATCATTTACACAGCTCATCCTCCAAACAAAAGTAAAGTCCTCCAACCCAAAAGTAATAACATGCACCCCGCCAAACCCACTGTTTATGAATGAAAAACTGTTTACACACGACTCTCAACTTATTTCGTTCGAACACTTCCGAAACAAGTGCTTCACTGACGAATTTTAGTTCAGACCACAACGCTGTAAATTCGGCCCGTCCTCCAAACAAAGATCCAAAAGTGATTTCATGCACCCGCCAAACCCCCTATTTATGAATGAAAAGCGGTTTGCACACGACTCGCAACTGCTGATGTTCGAACATGTCCGGAACAAGTGCTTCACTGACGAATTTTGTTTGAATCACAACGCTATAAATGCTTCACCCATGTACTACAAATATAAATAATCGTAACAGAACCTAAACACCTAACCTATGCCTATATATGCACAATATACTAATATAATATTAATTTATATTTGAGAAAATTCCCATCTTGAATGAACAGCATGTTAAAATTTATGAATGCGTTTATGGGGTCGACAGCTGGATATAATCAAATCAAATCAAATCAAATGTTTATTTAGGTAAGGTACATACATACAAGAGATTTTACAAAGAGTGATAGATTTATAGATAGGGCTAGTACATACAATGCCTAAAGCCACTATTACGCAAAGCGTTTCGGGCATGAAAAACTTAAATGACTAAAGCTTAATACTAATTGAGCATAAAGAATAAAATGAGTTGAGAACAAATAAAAAAAAAAAAAGAAAGAGATAAAAGGGGGGAACATGGCTGAAAAAGCAGCACAAATACAATTCGGTCGACAAACAGCATCATTTAAAAAAAACAGACATTGGTTGACAATAGAGGGGTAAGGTAGGTTACAGGGAATTTATTAGGTATAGCTTCGTTTTTATCTTAAACTGGTTGAGAGAGGTACAGTCTTTAACATGGTTGGGAAGGTCATTCCACATTCTGGGTCCCTTGATTTGTAGAGCATTTCTAGTTTGATTAAGTCGTACTCTAGGAATATCAAAACTGATTTATTTCTGGTGTGGTGCTCATGGCCCGGGTTCTGTTACAACCTTCTATGAAGCTTTTGAGGTCAGGATTGGCATTACAGTTCAGTGTTTTATATATGTATATATGTATATACATATGTATAATGTATAATATACTTGAGTCGAGGACGGGTTGATTTACACAACTTGTAAATGTTTAGTGGTATCTGAAACATCATTATCACTCTATCAAGAACATTCTTTATGATCATTATTTTTTTTATTATTAGTATTACTACCGTCTTTACAATGTTTTTGTTACATTGAGGGTGTTGGCATTGCTTTAGTCTCTTGGTTCTGTTGCCCCTTAAGTTGGGAATTCCCTTTTCAAGGTCTTGTTTTTGTTGGCTCTTGCTTCTCATTGAGTCGAGGAGCTCCATCTTCTTTTTCAGAAGCAAGGGGTTTTGTTCTTTTGCAGCCCTCTACTTTGCTGGCGAAGAATGAGATGGTTGGCTGTAGAGGGGTCCGTTGGTTATCGCTATATGGTTTGTTCAGCCAGGGTTGCAGCATTTGTTATTACCTAATCGCTACCTAAGCTATTTTTTGGGGGAAATGGATTGTTTGTTGATCCAATCATCTTGGTCCCCTGTTCCAAGGCTCGATTATCCTAGGTCATCCACAGTGTCATTAATTTTAGCCATAATGTCCATAATGGGACCTTATGGACACTGACAAAATCCATTCCAGTGTGTCTGATGGGTAATCGGTTTCCATTTGTATTCACCTAGTTGTGTCTACCTAGTTGTGCTTGCGGGGGTTGAGCTCTGGCTCTTTTGGCCCGCCTCTCAACTGTCAAACTGTCAATCAATCTTCACCCCCCTCATGCCCCACACACACACAACACACAGTACTAGTGGCGCCTGACAGCTGAGTGGACAGCACTTCAGATTCGTAGTCCTGAGGTTCCGGGTTCGATCTCCGGTGGAGGCGGAGACAAATGGGCAAAATGTTTCTTTCACCCTGATGTCCCTGTTACCTAGCAGTAAATAGGTACCTGGGAGTTAGACAGCTGTTACGGGCTGCTTCCTGGGGAGGGGGAGGGGGGAGCTTTTTATAGGTCGGACCATTTTCACGAGGTCACCAGTTCTACCTCAGTCATCCATTTATAAGCCATCGTAGCCCAGCTGTGGGAGGTCCTCCACGGCCTCACAGTCCATCGTAGCCCAGCTGTGGTCCTCCGCGGCCTCACAGTCCGTCGTAGCCCAGCTGTGGGAGGTCCTCCGCGGCCTCACAGTCCGTCGTAGCCCAGCTGTGGGAGGTCCTCCACGGCCTCACAGTCCATCGTAGCCCAGCTGTGGTCCTCCGCGGCCTCACAGTCCGTCGTAGCCCAGCTGTGGGAGGTCCTCCGCGGCCTCACAGTCCGTCGTAGCCCAGCTGTGGGAGGGTCCTCCACGGCCTCACAGTCTGTCGTAGCCCAGCTGTGGGAGGTCCTCCACGGCCTCACAGTCCGTCGTAGCCCAGCTGTGGGAGGTCCTCCACGGCCTCACAGTCCATCGTAGCCCAGCTGTGGTCCTCCGCGGCCTCACAGTCCGTCGTAGCCCAGCTGTGGGAGGTCCTCCGCGGCCTCACAGTCCGTCGTAGCCTAGCTGTGGAAGGGTCCTCCACGGCCTCATAGTCTGTCGTAGCCCAGCTGTGGGAGGTCCTCCACGGCCTCACAGTCCGTCGTAGCCCAGCTGTGGGAGGTCCTCCACGGCCTCACAGTCCGTCGTAGCCCAGCTGTGGGAGGTCCTCCACGGCCTCACAGTCCGTCGTAGCCCAGCTGTGGGAGGTCCTCCACGGCCTCACAGTCCGTCGTAGCCCAGCTGTGGGAGGGTCCTCCACGGCCTCACAGTCTGTCATAGCCCAGCTGTGGGAGGGTCCTCCACGGCCTCACAGTCCGTCGTAGCCCAGCTGTGGTCCTCCGCGGCCTCACAGTCCGTCGTAGCCCAGCTGTGGGAGGGTCCTCCACGGCCTCACAGTCTGTCATAGCCCAGCTGTGGGAGGGTCCTCCACGGCCTCACAGTCTGTCATAGCCCAGCTGTGGGAGGGTCCTCCACGGCCTCACAGTCCGTCGTAGCTCAGCTGTGGTCCTCCGCGGCCTCACAGTCCGTCGTAGCTCAGCTGTGGTCCTCCGCGGCCTCACAGTCCGTCGTAGCCCAGCTGTGGTCCTCCGCGGCCTCACAGTCCGTCGTAGCCCAGCTGTGGTCCTCCGCGGCCTCACAGTCCATCGTAGCCCAGCTGTGGGAGGTCCTCCACGGCCTCACAGTCCGTCGTAGCCCAGCTGTGGGAGGTCCTCCACGGCCTCACAGTCCGTCGTAGCCCAGCTGTGGGAGGGTCCTCCACGGCCTCACAGTCCGTCGTAGCCCAGCTGTGGGAGGGTCCTCCGTGGCCCCACAGAGTTCCACCCAAGGACATAAGCGTCTCCCTTTTGTGTCGGAGCAGCGTGTGTATAATATATTATAAGAGTCTTAAATAAACTTTTAAGTAAATATCCACACACATACACACATTCTCACAGCAAATAGTAAATACATTTTCTGATCAGGGGGAGACAGATACTGACAGTATGGGGCTTAAATGTTTATTGATAAAATAAATTCTGCAGAACATGTAGACACATAAAGTAAGAATTAACAAAAGTAACAATTCCAAGTCCGAGGACTAGATTTAACTTAAAAGGTACACCCGTAGTAAGTATGAGTTAAGCTTAGCCTAGTGACATGGAAACGAAATCTGCGGTTGGAACAAGTTAGGGGAGAAGGTGGTGGAGGCCAAGACCGTCAGTAGTTTCAAAGCGTTATATGACAAAGAGTGCTGGGAAGACGGGACACCACGAGCGTAGCTCTCATCCTGTAACTACACTTAGGTAATTACACACACACATGCCAGTTAATTGACAGTTGAGAGACGGGACAAAGAGCCAGAGCTCAACCCCCGCAAGCACAAATAGGTGAGTACACACACATACACATGGTACAAGGTACCTTGTACAGATACAAGGTATCATCTGGGAGAGGAAATTCTTCAAAGAGTCAGAGAGAGAAAAAAACTTGGGGGTTGACATCACGCCAGACCTGTCTCCTGCAGCCTATATCAAGAGGATAACATCAGCGGCATATGCCAGGCTGGCCAACATAAGAACGGCATTCAGAAACTTGTGTAAGGAATCATTCAGAACTTTGTATACCACATATGTCAGGCCAATCCTGGAGTATGCAGCCCCAACATGGAGTCCATATCTAGTCAAGGATAAGACTAAACTGGAAAAGGTTCAATTAAAGGTTTGTCACCAGACTAGTACCCGAGCTGAGAGGTAAGAGCTACGAGGAGAGACTACGGGAATTAAACTTCACTTCGCTGGAAGACAGAAGAGTTAGGGGGGACATGGTCACCACATTCAAGATTCTGAAGGGAATTGATAGGGTAGATAAAGACAGTCTATTTAACACAAGGGGCACACGCACTAGG